ACACTGAAAGCGGTTCTCCTACACAATAGTGAAGCACTCCGAAGCTAGCAAAACACACATATAAGTGTTCTTTTACGCAGAAAACAGAGTAATTTTACACCAAAAAAATGTTCCTTTTGGTACTTTCAATTACACCGTTTTTCCGCTCAATATTTCTGTGTGTGTAGGGAGAGGTAGCCTTAGGTATTGCCTATAAAAATATAACGTGACAATTGGAGGGAGTGACAACTGGACGTGACAATTGACAATGGGAGAAAATATCACGTGACAATCACGTGATAAACGTCATACATTGGAGGGAGATTGTGATTCAAGCTGGAGGAATTCCTTTGTTGAGCCGCTAGAATCCGAAGGAAACAGCGGAAATTGCCTACGACTATTTAATGAATTTAACGGTGATGAATAAGTGCGAAAAACGTTTTGGCTTTATAAAATTTGACGAAATGACCAGGGTAAAAGTTTTATTACTGGCGGTCAATTCAAAACGGCGCAAACATTTAAACAGTGAAGATAGTGAAGCACGATTCAAAGTGTGGTACACCTTTCGTACTTTGAGCGGCGATAGCGGGATAACGGTGTGGAATTTCGAGGATCGGTCTTCAGTTCCCGGACCAGAAAGGTGGGGCCTATGCAATGTCAAATTTCATCAAAATGGTGATACTGTCCCTTTAACGTCATGATCTGAGTAGAAAATATTCGCTGTGTGTACACTTTCCATACTTTCCATGTAATTACTTTCCAATACCTTCCAACATTCACTGGACGCGCCTAGATATCTTTTTAATAGCTTGCAAGTGTTCCAGAACTTAACTGAATTGAGTCACTCCAGGACAATCTAACTATTACCAAGCCGCTCATCAAATGCTACGTTGCGTATCAATATCACACCCCTTTTTTGGACGCCTAGATCGTGCTATTATAACCCTCGCCCTGGCAGGGCATTTTTCGTAACGCGGCCTGGGGGGGGGGATCCGACCTCCTGGCGTTTCGAAACTAAGCGTCGTAGCGCTTCCCTACAAAGACAAGTCGATTGCTCTTTACGAGTATTCGCAACTGGTGATACCTATATTTTTATCATAGGTCAATATTTGACTCCGTTTTGGCTAGTCAACGATCAAATTACGGGGAAAAGCTAAAATTTTCCAAGCTATTTAGCCAATAATGGCAAATCTATGAAAGATATCAACATGAAACTTTCACGACCGTGTTTCTCAATGAATTAGCAACAAAATGATGCATAGTTCACTGCAGTTCAGTCATTACTGGCGTGACATAGTCCCCGGGAACACGAGAGTCACACCCGCCGCTGGCGAGGACTGTCCTAATTGACCTGAGGTGACCTTGTAAAGATCGAGGAACAATTTTGAAAGCATTTAGATGAAGATTGAACCACAGATTCGGATTCAGGACCTCAAGAAACCCTACTAAACACAGACATGCGAGGTCAATGACCTTTGTTGACCTTAGAAAGGTCAATATACGATGTAATGTTTCATGTCCTGTCAAAATCTGACATAAGTCACAGAATAATTTCGTTCTTGTCGATGGGATCGCGTCCAGTTACGCCAGATGTACGATTTTGTCAAAAAGAGTCGGAGGTTTTACCTATTGTGAGGTCATAGCTCGGTGACCTGACATGACCCGAAAATATTTTTACCGAAAGATTGAGCTGAAAGTTAGCATGTAGGTAGGCACCCACTAAGCCATGCATATCCATGTGCCAGATTTGGGGTGCTGTTACACGTGCGCACGCGCAGGGGTCGATTCCAGATCTCGAAGCCGCCTGTACTGATTGCGCTCAAATTTGGTACACGGTTAGGGAGCAGTTGGTAGGGTGCCGTGCAAAAGTCAGTTGGGACCCAGTTGGCACGTGCGCACATGCAGGGTGCCGCTTCCAGATCTCAAGAACGGCTGGGCCGATTGCGCTCAAATTTGTCACATCACTAGGGACCGGTTAGTAGGTCTTGGGGTGCAGTGCACAAGTTATTTGGTGGTATCCCCTCGCAATTTCGCACGTGCAAGGCCCACCCTCCCGCTCACTCCGTTGGTCGCCCCAAAAGGCGTTTTTACTGGTGCATGCACGATTACTTTATAAAAATGCTGAAGTGTTGCAAGTAATTGACAAATATTGTCCAAAGCATGCTGCCTTTGTCCAACCAAATTCCGATTTGGGCATAGGACAAAATCGGAATTCTGAAGGTACAAAATCCAATTGGCACCACTCTAACAGATGTGGTAAGGTTGTGATAGGTTTTACCGAACGGAGATATAGACGATCTGTCAACTGACGAGAGAAGCCAAACTCTGTCAACTGGCTGGTGTGCAGCAAGCAGATATTGATATTCTGCAACGGTTATTTTTGTTGTTGTTTTAATCTTTCTTCAATAAGGTACCTATGTTAGAGCTGTTGTGCCTATTTGTTTATACACCAAACAACATCGGTGATAGCCAGATAACTATTTCATGGCGTGCAAAGAAAGACTGTTCAAGTTACCCAACGGTCGGGTTATTTGGATACACCGTCACTTGACGGAGAAGCAAGGCTTTACTTCACATTTTTCAAAAAAAAAAATATGTTCAACTTGAAACTTGATGCACTCTATGGCAATGACTCTTGTCAAGTTGTTGGAAAAGTCAAGGCTGTTCAAGTTGTTCTTAGGACAATAAAAATTTATTTCATTGGCTTCCACTCGCCAAACCCGCTTTCCCTATAGCTCAATCAAGGGATGAATCACTGGGTGGTTCTTTCGACCCCTCCTCACCCTCCTGCAATTGAAGTTAGCCGTTGGCAAAGACACTAATTCGTGCAGGGGTTCATTTTCACTTGTCCTTTCAATGTAATCGGTGACTTAACACGCGCAGTGGAAGGGGGGGGGGGCGGATTTCGCCCACCCCTCCTGTTTTTCGCCAATAACTCGCGCCGCAAGCATAATATCAATGTGAAATTTCGGCTACCTGTCCAGAATTGAATTGCGGATCTTCTCATGCAAGAGGTAAGAAAATCGGTTCCCAACTTTTCTAGTAATAGCGGTGTAAAGTCAAACATCCTGCCGCCGCGGCGGCGCGGCGGCGCGGCGGCCGGCGCTAGATTCGCGTCAAATTCGGTGAGAAGACTGAGAAATGTACAGGCAATCACATGGTCAAAGAATTTTGGAAGTCGGCCAGTAACAACTTAAGTTATGAGTGTGTAAACACAAAATTGTGATTGCCGCGTTTCCCGCGTCGGCCGATCCCGCTTCAGCCGGCGACATCTTACCCTTAGCAGGCTTCTAACTGCCATATTTATTGTTGGATTATCTAGAAATTCACCATACATACTCAAAAATGTCTGTTCTTTCGTATAGTGAAAGATTGAAGAAAATCGGCCGGTAACTTTTTGAGTTATCGGCATGTAAACGCAAAAAAGTTGCTAATATGGCAGATTTGACCACATTTGACCTCATTTGACCTTGAAGATATTGACCAAGGATCATGAAATTCACACACAACAGAGTTCCCCATGGCCCCCACCTACCCTCCAAATTTCGTCTTTCTAGCTCCAGTGGGAGCTGAGATCTTAGGGGGGGGCGACATCCGCCCCCCCCCCCCTTCCACTGGGCGTAGTACTCGCAACCGTTCCACTGCGCGTGTTAAGCCAGCAGGCCAAATGGACAAAAATCCATACAAACCCAGGTGATGCCACGGGCCCACGGCCCTCATCCTTGTCAGCGTCCACTCCCTCGGCGGCGGCGGCGGCGGCCCGCCGTGCCGTGCGCCGCGGCATGTTACCTCTCGCCGCGCCAGGGGCCGCGGGGCGGGACGCTACCCCCCGCTGCGCCAGGCGACCCCCGGGCCTGGGCACCGCCGCGACGGGCGACGGACGACAACAGAGCAAACAAAGGATGGGGCCGCCAGTCAGCCGGCGTAGTGAATGGGTAAATCCTTACTCGATAATACAGCAGGAACTGCTCCACGAACACGGGCAGGCCGTACGCTAGTAGACATTCGATGGAATAGGCGATTCGGGCGTAGGTCAGCCGGGCGTAGGTCACCCGGGCGTAGACATTCGATGGAGTAGGCGATTCGGGTGTAGGTCAGCCGGGCGTAGGTCACCCGGGCGTAGACATTCGATGGAGTAGGCGATTCGGGCGTAGGTCAGCCGGGCGTAGGTCACCCGGGCGTAGACATTCGATGGAGTAGGCGATTCGGGCGTAGGTCAGCCGGGCGTAGGTCACCCGGGCGTAGACATTCGATGGAGTAGGCGATTCGGGCGTAGGTTAGCCGGGCGTAGGTCAGCCGGGCGTAGACATTCGATGGAGTAGGCTATTCGGGCGTAGGTCAGCCGGGCGTAGGTCACCCGGGCGTAGACATTCGATGGAGTAGGCGATTCGGGCGTAGGTCAGCCGGGCGTAGGTCACCCGGGCGTAGACATTCGATGGAATAGGCGATTCGGGCGTAGGTCACCCGGGCTGATCCCAGCGCAGCTAATCTCCCGCTGGGGGCACGCGTCAGCGGCTAATCCCCGCTGTCCCCACACCTGGCACACGCATCCGTCCCTGTTTACTGGCAGCCGCCCGTCAGAGGCCAATGTCTCCATCATAACATAAAACAAGCCTCGGTGCTCAGTGACGGTGAAGCGAGAAACGATGCTCATCCTCCTGTTGACTATCGGCCAACTGGAGTGCGTCGTCGCGCGCCGACAGGTGGGTGCCGGCGACCGAGTGTCGAGCATGGCTGCTCGCGGAGGCGGCGGCGGCGAGCGTTCACCCCGGCGCGCCGGTGCTCCGTCCGTCGGCGACATCCCGTGACACGACACGGCGACCCCTGTCGGCCCCCGGCCAGCCGCCGCGAGAGGTGGTGCAACTGGCCCATGGCCGAGAGGGGGCGGCCGGCCGGCCACTTGTGCAGCTGGCTGTGTGGGCCGCGACCGGTGCCGACCGAGCGGTGGCCTTCCGAGCCGCGCCGCCGGCCAATCAGCGCCGCCGCTGACGTCACGGCTTTCTCTGGGCGGCGCGCCGGCGGCCGGTCAGTCTGAGACGGACTGGTGAGACGCCAACACCGCCCAGCCGAGAGCTGCGGAGCCTCGGCAGTGAGCGGCCTCGTCAGCCATGTTGAAGGGTGAGTACCGAGCTCAGCGTGAGCCACATTTCAGGGAACATCAGCAGACAACACCAGCCGACATCGCCGTCGCTACCAACTCCGAGCAGTGCCCTCGACAGCTGGCGCTGCGAGCGAGCGCTCAAGGTGATCCGTGCAAAAGTGAGCGTGCAGCCGCACCCGGCGCTGAGTGCAATGGCAGCGGTCGGGCGCGGCTAGACTGGGGAGTGAGTGTCGGGCCACTGGGACACCGGGCCCCAGGGACCCAGACAGAGACCCAGAGAACGGCCGACTCCGCCGGATACCGACCACCGGAAGACGATCGTCTCACCTTCAGCCAAACGACCGCCGTCCGACACCACTGGAAAGCAGCCTGGGAGACGGCCGCCAGCACGAGCCGCGCCTCTGAGCGACCTCTCAACCCACTTCCTGTGGCGTACGTTGGTGAAACGCGTCCTGCACTTCCTGCCGTCTGGTCTGATCGAGTGGGGGAGGACCTGAGAAAAGGCTGTTGTCAGACGATGCACCCAGCGCAGAGAGTGGTCTGAGAACGAGAACCAGTTCCACAGCGTGACATCACATCGTGCAGACCGCGGCGGCCTGGATCCGACGAAAGCGGCCCATCCTGGCGAGACGGGCACGGACGTGTGTGTCTCGGCGTGGCCTGTCCGGCGGTGCTGACGGACGCGGCTCGGGGTGAGGACTCTGTGCCGCAGGCCGCCGGATGTGTCCAGGTGCGGAGAACTGTTCGACCTCCATGGACAGAGACTGTGGGCCACAGCGCACCAAGGCCGGCCGGCGCACAAGGCCGGCGGCCCAGCGGGCCCCGAGCGGCGTCTCTGCAATCAGCCGGCCGTCACCGCCGATCACGAACGGTCGGCGCCGGCCGCAGAAATCCAGTCGTGACTGAGCCCGATACCATCCCCTACCTGACTCGAGCTCCGTGACCCGATCTGACCTCCCATCCGCCAGTAATCTGACCTAGTCTGACCGGCTGATCTGACCTCTGTGGCGTCACATATCACCTCAGCCTGACCCTGCCTCTGAGACTCAAGAAATGATGAAACAAACGTTGGTTAGCTTAGCGTCGATTACGATCTGTTGATAGTTCTGGAAAAAAAAATGTTAGACCTAATCTAATTTAAAGACCTAACTGCTAAGCTTTTAAAAACGTGTATTTCTCAATGATGCATTGTGACAACTCAATAACAAACATAAGACAGGTTCGGGCGATGCAGAGCTATAGGGATCAACGGGATCTCGTATAAACCATGCACGGTCATGGTCTGCATGAGAAGGTCCAACGTTCCAAGAAAATGTAAAAAGTTTACTTCTTTGAATGAAGACGTTCCGGGTCGGAGGTCCGAACAATATACTTTCAATAACAAACAATATACTATAAAGTTAGAACAATGCCAGCAATCTAACGTGTCTGACAATGAAGATTACGAAAAGAACGCATCTGTGCATCGCTTTGCAAACTCATTTGCTGGTTATCATCTTCGCATGGAGGATCGAAAAAATTGAAGACCAATTATAGCAACACTTCTTCTAATTATATGGTTCAGAGGGCAAAGTTTGTAAAGTCTCTAAAATGCAAAATGTGTGAGATCTTAATGATCGAACTTTCATTTGAGCATCTAAACGTTCAAAAACATGATTGCTTTGCTCTACTTATTATAAAAGATTTCCGAGAAAACTGTATTGCCCTGAATATTAAATGGGTTTCCTCCATGCCTAAAAGAGCTGTGTTCAATGTTAAGCTTGACAGGACTAGCCTCATTAGGTATCAAGCACATCAATGACGTTATGTAAGTATCGAGTGAAGCCGTGATTCATTGCCAGATCCCAATCAAGTTTGTCGAGCAGTCATTATAGAGTTGGCTCAGCGCTTGCCTCATCAAATTAGCTGTATTATCAAGTCTGTTAGGATAATGAAGCGCTATTGTCGAGCCTCTTCACGGAGAAAAGACAAGCAAAAACGAAATTATACACCTATTTGACCCTGAGCAGCTGCTAACATTCAGCTCAGCGCGCCGGCCGCCTCTCGGCGCGTATCCGGTTTCCGTATCGGTCAGCCTCGCGGCCTCTCGGGAACCCCGCTCCCAAATTGGAGCTCGGTGTCGGCCGGCTGTCCGGGTGATGAGTCGACTGCAGGTCCGAGGAGCGGGTCAGGGCGGGGCGCTGTGACCTGTGGCGGCGGTGCCAGTCGGTACCGGGCGCTCCCTCCGTCCACCACCCACGCCCGCCGTCGCCGCCGCCGCCGCTGCTGTCCCGTCCCTGGCCGGCCGAAGGTCGGGGAAGCGCCCCGGCCCGTTGGCCGCCCGCGCACCGCCACACAGCGAGGACAGCCCCCTGTGATGCGTCACACCTGTTCCAAGAATCCGTTACAGCCCCGGGGCCCTCTGTCCTGAGGAGAAGCGCTGCAATGTGTGATAGCATCCACATGGGGAAGCCAACCGTGCCCGTCAACTCGAGGCAGTTTTCGTATTCAGTCGAGCAGGACCATTTTCTCCGCGCTTCAGTTATTGTAAACCTAAAAAAGACTGTTGTTAAGACTTTCTATAATTCCCGCAGTCTACGCTTTAAAGAGAACAATGGAATATCAACACTAGCCTCAGTTATTTTCCAATCGATCACACATCCTTTCGAAAGTGATTGATAACTGAACGCCTATAAAAATGACAATAATTAGCGACTGCGCGGCACCAGCATGCTCGTTTTCCTGCGATGTTGTTCTGGAACATTCCAGAAGCTCCCACACGACGTCCACCCGTCCTCTAGCCTGTTCACCTTCGACGGATCTAGATGGCCATCGCTCTCAGGGTCCCAATAGCCGCGTGGGTGGCAGCGAAGAAAGGAGAGAAAGGCAGCGCGACTCCGAGTGACCAATGCCGCCAGCTGGGGCGCCGCCACCGCGCATACGAACGGCTCGAGCTCCGCCATGGGCGCGGCCGGCCGGAGCTACTTTCAGTTTCGCCAAATGAGCTCCAGCCACACGCCAGATGACGAGTCAAACGTTCACTTGTGTGGGCACAGCGTGGGATGCGCCGCCGAGGAAAACGCCGGGATCCGGAGAAAACGACTCACAAATTATTTTGACGTATGTAGAAATAGAGATGTTGATGCATTCCAGGATATTTTGTGAGCACTGAACATTGTAAAAACTAAAACAAGTCATTGAACAATAAGGCACAAAACTTATTCCAGTTTTCATCGTCACAGGCCATCACACAGGATTAGCGCTAATTGCACATGTCAGTTCAAACGTCTCGCTCTCCATGACCACTGACCGACAAGTTGACATACGCCTCCTGGTAGTGCGTATATTCACAGCACCCGAGCTGCTCTATCATTAGCCCAGAATCCTGAGATATTATGTGATTTTCTGCGGTCCGTTTCGGTCGGCGGTCGGTTGAGGCCGTTCAGTGCCATTAGGGCCGACCTTGGCTGGCAGCCAAGCGGACGATCGGAGCCCGTTGCGTGTCCATCGGAGCGCGTCGTTGTGCCATCGGAGGCGACGGCGGCGTCCTCCCACGCCTGCCGCGCCCGTCGGCGGCGTGGGTGACCGCTGAGATCCGGCCCACCGGCCCTGATGCAATCGGCCGTTTAGCGCGGCCTGTCTGAAGAGGCGGTGAAACTCCGCCCCCGCGTCCTCTTCGACTGACGAAAAGGGCCGCCGCCGCCGCGCCGCCGACCGCTCGAGCCGTCCCTCTCGATCGAAGGTCGCTTCACCTGGCGAGCTGTCAATATTTGCCGCATTCTCGTCCGGTGACGGCCGGGCGGCTCCTCAGGGCCACCGGACGCCGCTCCACTCTCCTCCTGTCTCACCCCTCTCCGCGAGCTCAGCGCCCCGCTCCCGGCCGAGTCAGTAGGGCGACCCGATGGACTCCACCGGTGGTCCCTCCAGACAGTCTATCTGGCGACATCATCACGACTGAGTGACCGCGCCGCGGCGGCTGAGGGAGCCGTCTCGGTAATCCGAGCCGGAGGGGCGGCCTGACACCGCGCGCGGCCTGTCGCTCTGTTTACACTTGTCTCCGGCGCCGGGGACCCGCCGCCGCGCCGGACAGCGGGGAGGCGGCGCTCATTGTCCTACGGCCGAGGTAATTGAGGGCTCACAGCCGAGGGCTGTTCACGGACCCTGTGTGCGGTCGGACCGCACACAGCCTCCAAGCTCCGCCCACTGCGTCCCTACGTCAGCCTTGCGTCACCGCACACAGCGACCGCTGTGGCCGGTCGGGACTGGCCACAGCGGACCGTCCACCGCACGCAGCCGTGACGTCAGAGCCGCCTACCCATCCCCTACCCCCACGCCTTCTGGACGTACCGCACACACCGCACGCAGCAGTGTGCGGTGCCCGTGAACACCCCTCCGGATCGGGATTAGGGCAATTTGCCGCGGTAATGGAGACCGTGTGAGGGGTCGGCCGGTCTTTTCCAGCCGCGCCGCCTAGAATGGCAGAGATCACAGACCTCGGCCAGTTCAAATGGAAATGCCGCCCCGCCCGACACACCGTTACGGAGCCGTCTCCGCCGACATACACGGCGGCCGGGTATTGCCCTCAGACGAGCGAGGCATCAAAATGAAGACCTCAAGACACACAAAGACGGCTGATCGATGCGTACACAGAGGTTGGAACGGTCGGAGCCATCTGCTCGAAACGCCACGGCGCTCGGCACAAGGCAAAACAGCATATCAACCGGTCAACGCAGCTCAACACGTCTCAACTCAGCTCAGCGAGTCGACCGACAGCCGGCACGGGCCGGTCCGGCCGACAGCCTCGTTACTGCCGGGGCGCCCAGCCAGCCGTAAACCCAACACATCCGCCGCGCCGGAGCGAGACATCGTGTTTTGATGCCCGCCACCGCGACCTGGGGATTAGCGTCGCAACTTACTAATGCGATTCGGACACACGCACTTATTGCCACGATGATTGTGCATTGCCGCCCAGCAAACATTTCGTAATGTCATTCCGGTTAACAACATGCATATGACAATGAATAATGATGTAAAATTAAATCAATCAGGTTACGACGGTGTTTGGGGGATTTAGTGTGCACAGGAGATTTAGAGGCCATTCCGAGCAAAAGTCTCTGACTTGTAGTGTTCGCGCTATCTGTGTGAGAATTCGAAAACCGATAAGCTGTTGCCTTTTATAGCCGCCGGGCCGGTCTTCTCGTCAGGCCGTGATAACGCTGTCAGTAATGGCCGGTGAGACCGGCGGCCGGCCCGCCGTGGTGTGACTGTCGGACCGTGCTCTGAGCCTCCGTGTGACCGTGTGTCCCGCCTCTGTGTGACCGTGTGTCCCGCCTCTGTGTGACCGTGTGTCCCGCCTCTGTGTGACCATGTGCCCGCCTCTGTTTCAGCTGAGATGCCGTTCCTCGTGGGACTGGTAGTCTGGACTACCATCGTCGCCACGGTGAGTACAATCGCGACCACTCGCCACTCGCTAACCTCTAGCCTGCTTACTCGTAATGTTTATATTACATCTATATCACTCAGTTAAACTTATTCCACCCGAGATGCACAGCAAGAAGTAGACCGTCTGCAGAGCATCCGTGTTCTACTTACCGCCCGATCGGATAGGGACGACCTCGGTGACCGGGCGGGTGCACTGTCCTTCCTTTGCCACGTCACCCTGCCACCCGGGCGGAGCGAGCCGCCCAGCGCCGTCCGCTCTGTCCAGGTACACCCTGTCGAGAGCCGCCGAGACGGTCGGAGGAGAAACCAACGGTAACGGTCGCACAGTGGAGTCGACACTGTCTTTGTTGCAGCCTTCCCTGATTAGCTGAGTCGGATGCCTGGTGGATCGTGAACGGGGGATTTGGCGCTGCGATGCAACGGGTGCCGGACTGCACGATTAATAAAAATACTGAGCCAGACTGACAGATTTCTCATCGGTGGGAGATCAGCTGGCCAATATTTTATTTTATTTTCTCTCGTGATCAATACCGAGCCGGACCCTATCAACTCCGCAACAATGTAAAACACTGATACTGGGAGTGAGGTCCCTTGCCCAGCAGCGTGTCCGGTCGCTGGGCGTCGGTGTGAATGCCGGTCAATGCGGCGTTTTTCGGTCCCGAACCGCGCGCCGTGTGATCACAGCAGGCACGTGCCGGGCGTGCCGATGTTGTCTGTCTGTCGGTGACGTGCCATCTCGTCCGTCCGTCGCGGCGCGGCTAACACGGCCCGGGCGTAGCGCGGCAGCGCGGCTGGCATCTTGTTCAGTCACCCCTCGGCGCCGAGTCAACGGCCGGTGGCGGCACGGCACGTCCGGCCAGGGCTGCCCGTCTCCGGCCGGCAGGAAGCGGACCGTGTGTTTAGCCGGGCGGCAGAGGTGGCCCGCCGCTCACCTGCTAACCGTCCGCCCAGACAGATGGCACGCGGACCAGTAGTAACGGCGCGACGAGACGCGGACACTGTTTTTCGCTTCTGATGCGAAGCGCAACGGGTCGCTAAAAACGCCTCCACACCGCGGCCGCACGCGCCCGAGCGCGGTGACGCCGCTCGGTGAGACGGTGCGGGGCAGCGGGCTGTGCCGGCGACGGGTTTTGTGCGCTGCTGTTAGACGGAGCACCGGACCGCGGCGGTGCGGCGGTGTCATTAGCAAGGGTAGCGACTGGGGCAGGCGCAGAGACGCGCGCAGGACAACAAGGCAGCTCGCTTCGGTGAGCTCAGGGGCCGAAGCACAAAGGGACGCGAAGCTGGCCTTGTTTTGCGCTGTCACACGCCCTCTGATGAGCTTTTTGAGGTTTTTCGATAGGCAGCCTTGCGACACGCATCTTGTTAGTTAGAGAAGCATGTTGCGAAAGCCTGGCGAGCTCTGGTAAAACTCCTAGTCATAGAGCGCGACAAAGACAAGAAGTATGACGCGATTCTGAGGCAAGGATTTCCGCAACTTCGCGTGATGAGTATCGGAACGGGGATGGAGCACCCCAAGACTGGCGCCAGAGTCACCTCTGGAAGAGCTGCCCAGACGGTGACGTCACCCCCGGAGACGATCTGGCAGCTCCGGTCAGCTGGCAGCCCTACTGCGGCCAACTGACTGCGGTCTCCCGGGAACCGGGCACTCCCCACATACCGCACTGCCTTTGCCTGTCGTCAGACTCCGGAGTATCGTGTGAGCTGTTAAATTCGGCGACACGGAGTTGCGTGCCACCCTGCGACGGCCAGAGGTGGCCAGTCTACCTGACCGTGGGGTCCACAGACCGGCTACAATGCCAGGAAGCCGTAATTCGCTGCAGCGTCGACAGACCCGGGCTCGGTTCTCGCCAGCGGCAGTCGGCGAGCTGGAAAAACCGGCCGCTCGCCTCCGCTCGGAGCCGCTGCACGGTGTGTCGCTGATACCCAGAGTGGCTCTTTGGCCGTGTCACGCCGCTCCACTCATCAGCGCGCTGTCGGCCGTCATTAGCGAGCGATCGACGCGAGGCCGTACCCCGGGTGGCGGCCGCATGGCCCCACCGGAGACCAAATTACGACGAGACTCGCCGCCGCCCGCCGCCGAGCCGCCCGCGGTCGACCCCAGCACGGTGTCAGTGACCCTAAAGATAGAGCAGCCGGGGCGAAGGGCGGGCGGAGCCGCCGCCACCTCAGACACCGCCGCGCGCACAACGCCCTGCGCCCTCCCAGAAAGTGAAAGGTTCAACATGAAACTGAGCCGTCGGTGAGTGGCCATTGGTCGGTTATCTCTGGAGGCAGGCACGGTCTCGGCCCGATGTCACTCCCCTTCCTGCTGGTATCGGACATACCGCCGCGGCCCTGAAGGTCACTGTCAGGACCGCGGCGGCGCCGGCCGGCCGGCTAATGGACTGAGACGGAGCCGGCGCGGCCGCGGCGGAATGAGCCGCTCCGTGAGCGCCGCCGGCCAACGTGGGACGCTCCGGAGCGGCGCGGTGGCGGCGTGCACGCCCCCGGTGAGGAAATTCACCAGCAGTGTGACCTCAGCGACGATTAGAGACCGCCGACCGACCGCGGCGACCAACAGTGCGGGAAATCGACGATCCATTCGCAGGCGCAACAGCGGTGCAACAGCGCCGCGCGCTGCCCGAACGGTTTCACTGGAAGCGGAGCTCTGCAGTGTGGGAGACCGGTACGGGATTCAGTGGCGCGCAATCCGTCTTAGCCCGCTCAGAAAACGCCTGTCAGGCCCCGGAATATGAATGAAATTTTACTTATATAGAATGCCCATTTATGAGTCCAACTGAAAGGTATTCATTTAATTTATTTCAACAATAATTGCTCTGACGTAAATGTAAATCAAGTTGGTAAAAATATTTTTACTTGTTATTATATCGGCATCAGAAACAAATTGTCGTCTTCATATCTGAGTCAGATGTCACATTTAAAAATGTACCTAATAGATAACCTGAAACTGTTATGTTTAGTCACGTCAATCTTAAGGGTTTATGCTTCATGTTTCGATCAAAGCCAGCTCGCACAAGGAAATGCTTTTTGCCTTATTCCCGTCACCCGGCGCCGTTCAAGGTTACATAATCAAATTAGTCATCGTATTATCATATAGCCTTGGTCTCTGCCGGGGCGTTGTCATAGGATCAACAACACACTTCAATTGAGCTCGCCGGGCCGCGAAACAGCCCTGGGCGGAGGGTGGTCGGGCAAACATCGAAACACTGCGACGTCTGCACGTCTTTATAGCCATGGTCTGTGCCAATCAGCACCGATTCGATGCTGGTAGGCAGCGTTCCAAAGGCCCTTTGTGTGAAATTCACGCTCGCCTTAGGTTGCTCCAGATTCATTCAGGCGTTATCAGGTCATCATTTTGCACGGAGACATGACTCGAGAAGCCGTGGACGAAAATTGGCTGCTGGCGGCTTCGATGACGTTATAGACCAGGCCGTTGTCTCGGCGGCACTGATTATGCAAACGGGACAGACCGAGCGGCGGCACAGTCCTCCCACGTGCCTCTGAGAGTGAAAGTACGCCCCGCTCGCTCGTCATCCACGCGTCGGCTGCCACGCACACATGCGACACAACACCACGCAAACTCCGTCCTAGACGCACTTCACCGTCCAATCGACCCCGCCATGCGCTTCGCCGCCTTGAAAATGTCGCTCAGCCCTGGCTCTGTGCCGATCGGGCCCGCCGGCGGCCGCGAAAGTTCTTGGTGCGGCTGGAGATCGCGCTCCCCGGGTCACCATCTGACCTCCTTCTGCAGCGCTGGGTCCGCCCGGAGACCGATCGAGACGGGGCGGTGGAGCCGGGACGGTGGAGCCGGGGCGGCGCGTGCGGGGCGCCGGGCGAGGTGTGACCGGCGCCGCGTGCCCACAGATGACTGATAACGCCCTGTCTCTGGCGTGATTAGGCGGCGCCAGCTATCCCCAGTGTCCCTGTGATGGATCAGCCACTGCCTGGTGCAAGGTTGCCAACGCTGCGTCGAAAGCCGACGGGCGGACGGGGCGAGGGCAGCGGGCGGGAGAGGAAGATATCGGCGCGCCCGGTAGTTTGTCGTGCCGATACCGGGTGAACGCCGTCAGGCGCCGCCCCTCTGCATTCTCCGCGTGGCTGACGCAGTCGTTCAGAGTAGACGGTCGCGATCGCCACGTCACCGATTGTATCGCTGGCAGAGTGAGTCCTCAGTCTCAGCCTCGGCCCGGCGCCGCTCGGTGGCGCGGGCGGAGAGAGTCGAGGGTGCGTCCCACCGTTCCAGACAGTCTCACATGACCTCCGACCCCGCCGACGCTGCGAATGCCTTCCGCGTCAGAGCCCGACCCTCTGATTGGCGGCTGGAATCGGAAGGCGACTGAAAATCGGCTGTAACGCAGCCTCGGGGCAGAATCCATCTCTGAAATCGTCCACCTGTCAGACGGACGCGTCGGCACTCGCCACAAACCGGAGTTTGATTTCTCCCGAGCGGACGAACCGGAATCATGTCGATGAACCGGATTCCAAAAGTCAGTTTAATATTCAGAAGTGTTTTGTGTTGTATCTGATAATAATCATCCCTCTGAGAAGTTGACACGGTGCCAAGATTCGCGGAGAAAGGCACGGCCGCAAACCTTGAAGTGGAGTTTGCTTTGGTCAAGGTTTTCCAACTGAAGCTCGTGTGATGCATGACGATGTCATCGGTGCGATAAGCAGCGCGGGCCGACGGATTGTCGTGAGATCACGCCGGACAGTTTTATCCATTAGCCAGATCCAAATGTATCTCGGAGCACCATCACAGCCGCAGCAGTCCCACAAAACATACATCCCCAGCCCTCACAGCGGGTGGGAGGCAGAACCCCGTCGGCAAAAACCACCCACGCGTCTCTTCGCGTCTTGCCACCCTCCGACCGGGGCCATTCCACGCCGGCCACATCCTCTTCATGGACAAAGCGCAGAGCGGTGCGGCCGCTGCTCCCTGCGCCCCGCCGAGCCGTGATCTCAGAGTTCAAGGTCGCGACACGGGCACCGCGGCCGCCACCGCCGCCGGGCATCGTTGCAGCTGAGGCTCGCCGACGTCGACCTTGATAGGGGCCATCCCGACCGCCCTGCGCTCGTAGCCGGCCGGCCGGCGCCGTCTGAGGGCTCCCGGCCGGCCGGGCTGCCCCGGGTGGCTCGTTCACCGAACCGTCTCCCGACTGCCGCTCGGCCGTGTCAGTCAACACCGCTTCCACCGGGAACAGTCAACAGCCGACCCGGCACAGAGTTCCGCCCGGCTGCATTAATTCACCGGCGGGCGTTTGCGCTAGAAACAGAGGGCCATTAACAGCCCCGAACGAGGCGAGTTTCTGTGAAAGCGAACACACGGCTCGGAGGCGGCGCTGGCGTGGTCGTCCCCGGGGCGGAGAATGTCACCGAGCTGCCGCCGGCACCGCCCACCGTCCACCGCCCGTCTCCCAGCGCCGGCCGGTGAAAACGGTCGACATCACGATCTGTCCGGCCCCCGTTTGATAACTAGACCAGATAGCGGTCGGACCGCACCCACCGGCCCATCGAGCCGCCCAGAGCAGACGTGAGCCATGAGGAGTGACCCTCAAAATTCCCATCTGATGCGGTATTACAGAGATGCAAGCCAGAGATATCCAAGGCGGTGCTTGCCTTATAACTGACGAGATAGCATAGCTACAAGACGCGGTACGCCCTGCTAAGCTGCTGGGATTCACCCCTCGACACGCGATCATATGTATGAAGTCACACTGTCTCACCATAGAGGCCCTTTAGCTGCACAGATCACACAGCATACCGGCTCCCGAGAAGGAGACAAACAGCACAGCCGAGTCAGGGACAGATCGGTACACAGAACCTTGGCCAGCCGGTTGGAGCGGCGCCAGCTGCAGGTCCCCGTCTCGGCGAGGCTCAGGACCCCCTCCCTGACGGCGGAACGTTGCGGTGTCGGCTGCTGTCCGATCCCATTCGGCGGCGTCCGGACGCGGTGGCAGTTTTTCTTGTCGCACATTGTTCGCGGCAGCGCCGTGCGGTCCGTTCTGCCGCCGTGGTCGCGGCGTCGTCACGTCTCAGAACCCGGAGGCCGGGGCGGCGCGGCGCGATGACCGCCAGCAAAAACGGACCGACGGCCAGACGGAGACATGAACGACTGCACTTAAACGGGACCATCGGCCCGGCGGCCCGTCATTTGGACACATTACCCCGCCATCGTCCTGTCCGCATCTCGCCGCGGCCAATTTACATAAGCGGCGGCGGCGGGCGCCTCTCCGGCGGCGGCGGTGTTCAGATGAGTCAGGAGGGGCTCAGCGACGGTCGTTCGGTCGGCGTTGACGTCTTTTTGCCGGGATCGTAATCGTCACCTGCGCAGTGCCAAACGCAGTCGGAACGCCGACCGGCGCGGACGGATATTTGTTTACGAGCCTGTAAGTGTCTCGGGTTCTCTGCCCACCAGGCGGCAAGGTTACAGAGGATCCGACACCGGTGCGGAGGCCACTGTGCGGCACAGCGCACGCCGGTGAGCCGCCCGCTCACAAATTGATTGTTTGGATCCCTGCCGGCGGCAAAAAGGGTGTCCCTGTCGTGAGCGCATACCGCGAGCCGCGAGGGTATGAATCCTTGATGAGTCAGCGGCGCCCATGAGCTGAACTCCGCCGCCGCCGCTGCGCTGAGTGGTATTGCGAAAAGCCGCCGCGCCGGCCGGTGCGGGACCTTGCAGTCGCCGTATACGGCTCCCGGAGTTTGCACAAGCGCCGCTCTCCTGGCGTCGGTCGAGCGGCGAGCGGCGGCGCGACGCCTACGATTACACGCCAGGCACCGGCTGGTGCTAGCCGCCAACGCCCGATTGCAGTCGCTAGATGGCTGAGTTAGTCTGTTGTGGTCGATCGCAGTCTCCCGGTGGTGGTTCCGTGCCGCGCGCGCCCCGGCACAGTATCGGCGCCGTGCCGCGCTGAGGACGGCCGCGCGGTCGGCGCCGCTCACGGAGCTCGGCTCGGCGGTGCCGGTTTTTGGCCGCCGGGCCGTGCCGACCGTTCGGCAGGGACGCGGCGCCGGCACTCGGTTCCGGCGGCACGGCGGCGGTTCGCGGTGCGTGCCGAGGTCGCCTCTAAGGTCGACGGCTGGTCCGGTCGCGCTCCGTTGGCCGGCCGTGGCGCCATGGGACGTTGCCCGCTCGGCGCGAACCGTTGCGGCGCGGCTGCTGGCGCCCCGAGGTGTGACCGGTCACCGTAGGCCGGCGCTCTGAGGCGCACCGCACCCCGTCCCCCGCGAGCTGACCTCGACCCGGGACCGTGTCCGCAGCGCATTTACAGCCCACAGCGGAGCCTTATCCGGCCGCACACAAGGGCCGGCGCTGTGCAATAGCCGCATGCAGAATGCAGTCAGTCATGTTCTATAGAGAACTGCGACGGTGAACTAAGACCGGGCTCAATGTTCTGACTCAGAACCGAGAACCACCTCACAGTGCTGTTCGCCGTCTCATAAAGATGGCGGATGCTTGTCCTGTAATCGAGGAATGCCGTGTAGATCCCTCAAACAAGTTTCGTTTTCAAACGCGCCTTCTTTTAACACGGCGAAGCAGGAACCTGTCGTCGCTGGGCCGAGTTCACGGCGACTTCAAGGCCGCTAGTCGCAACCCTTCGCCGTACAGCGACCGCACAAAGCCAGCGGTGCGCGGTGACGACGGAGGGACGATGGACCAGGCCTGTGATACGGGGCCAGCGGACGTCTCTATGGCCGCGCATGAATGGTCTCCAGTGCGCCGAATCACGCCCGCCGGGCGCCATAAATCAGTCGCTCGCACGGCCGGCCGGGAAATCGGCACTCTGTAACGACGTGACGCTTTACCCGGACGGCGCGGCGGATCGCGATGGGCAAATTGCCGGCGCCTGACGCCGGGCGGAAACTGAGCTCGTCTCAATCCGTTCAGCTGACGAGTCACCACGCTCGGCGGCGGCTCACAAGCGGGACAATCACCGCCGACAGTGTGTTTAGCCGCCGCTAAAGAGGCTATCATGAGAACACACACGTTATTAATTGTTGGGTGGCGTTCTGGTCAGACTGCCTGGTGCGACCGATGCTGCTCTTTGTCGCCGCTGAGCGCCGGCCGAGGCGCCGTTTAGAGGCGCCGTAATTAATGGTGATGGCCGCCGGGTGCTCGATGTCGCTGACGGCTGACGGAACAAAAGCGATCGGGCCGGTCTGATGTGGCGCCGTAATTGTCGACCGAGCCGGCGCACCATTCCGGGAGTTCACGGGAGAGGTCATCCACTGACCGGGCTGACCGCTCAGGGTCGCCGTCATTATCTCACCGTGGGGGCGCCTCGTAATCGCGCTCAGTTCGCTCACTCCATTTATACTGCGGCGCCACAGCCCCGGCGAATTCATGTAATTTATCCGACATAAACACACCTTACCGTTACAAGAAAATCCAACAATTCATTCCTCAATTTGTGTACCAATATACCCGGAACTTTATACGTGCTTTGCCTGACAATGTATCTGGGAGTTAAAATGTGTTCGACCTGACTGACAATGTCCCGTCTCTGTTTCAGACGTTCGGTCAGGTACCGCCACCCCGGTTAGACTACGGTGGCCTCACGCAAGAAGTGTTTTTCCTGAACTTAGAAGATGGCTATTTTGGCTGCCAAGTGAACGAGAGCTCTGAGGTGCTGCAGCTGTTTGAGCTGTCCAAGCTGTGTGATGGCGTGCCTCAGTGCTATCTTGGCTCTGACGAGCTGGTTAAAGAGCTTAAGTGCACAAGTAAGTCATACCCGTTTTTATTATTCGACTTAAATGTAGCCATAGTTCGCTACCGCTAAAAAGAGCTTGATATTATATGCATAAATGATTTAACTTATTCTCTATCATATCTTCTTAATTTGTAACAAAAATTCATTGCATAAAATATTTGCGTCACATTCAAATAGGTACCGATGTGTAACAGCGCGTTTCGTCAAAGGCCGTTTAAGATGATGGGTTTCCCTGATGGCCGGTGTCCGCTCCCACCATCCCATTACGTGTCGCTGACTCCCGTTTGTCGCCCTGACCGTTCTCCTGACCACTCAGCACCTCCAACGACCCGCTCGCGTGTCCACCCGCCATTGTCCTCCTGCAGTGGCCCCTGAACCAACGGTCGGACCAGCAGCAGCGTCATCACGTAATGGACTGTTACGGCACCTCCAGACGTTAGTCGCCAAACATGTGTCCCAGCGACAAACAATGGCACAAAACAGAGTGAAAGAAACGCAACTGAGCAACAATAACGATTATGTATTTGATGATGCATTCACGAATTAACAAAGCCGTGATGACATCACTTAATTGAAAACCACAGTCCACAGCTAGAAAAAAGCAGGTGTGGTGGTTTGAATTGCAAACACTTGTTTATCATTTCTCTTTACATTCTAGCTTGACAAGAATTATAGCTCCCTCAAGGTCAACGTCCCTCCTGCAAAGCAGCCCCGACTTCAGATTCAATCATGGCCACATCACCAATCAGTATGCCAGCCATCTCTGCAATCATCGGTGGCTGTGCCGATCACGAGCTAATGCCCAATTTGCGCCCCTCCCCTCCAGTGATCGTGAGACCGGTCTCAACCAGTGCCGGTCCCTGAGACCGGCTGGACTAGATGGGACCACATGACTGGACCGGATCACTGCCAGAGAGGCAGCTCTCACATCCCAGTAGGACAGACACGATTTGTTCTTTCCGTTCAGTTTCAGCTAGACTACCAGACATAACCGTATTGCTCGTTCCTTCCCAATAGATATGGCATTGTATTTCAAGGAGCTGTAACCTTATTAAGCGACATAGGCTTTTCATAATGACACCCAACGCAACTCCCGACCACCTAGCACCGTTTTGTGCCGTCCTTTACCATCTCCCACGGTCCTTCCATCCGAGTCCCCCGCCTTCCCTCGCGTTGTCGGCGCCTCTCACGGTCTCACGGTCCCGCGGATCTGACCGGGACGCGCAGCCCGACCGACACACCGTTTTTGCCGTGCCGCCGCTGCCGGCGTGCTCGGCGTGCTGCCGCTCAGGTCTGTGGGCGCTCCGGCCGCAGCGGCGGACAAAACCCGCAGCGCCGGACCGCGTCCACCGTCCAGCGTCACCGCGGACCGGTCCGCCGCCGGCCGGGGTCAATGCATGGCGTCGGCGGTGACCGCACTGACCGCTGACCGGCTGCTCACCTCACCACGTCCCGTCTCTGTTGCAGACACATGTCAGCTGGCCACCGGCCGGCCCTGTGTCAACGGTGCCTGCCTAGATTCTCAATGCTACTGTAACGATGGCTTCGGTGGCAAGGGCTGCGAGATGCCCGGTAAGTAGCGCCGTGTCGGCACAAAGTCTCACTGTGTGTGCCCAACGTGTTTGAGGGTTACGAGTGTATTTGATGCCTGGACACTACGACAACGAAATCCTACAGTTTAGTTTGAACTGTTATACGAGAACTGAATATGTATGTGGGGTTGAGTGGGGATGGAAGGCAGGTGACCGGGAAAGGAAAGGCAGAAGGTAGATTTCTGCTCACATTCATACATTGTTTTCAATCAAATGTTTTAAATTCAACGTATCTTGATGCTTAAAAATAACATGATCACTGCAGCTTGTCCCAATAACTACGCTGCTGACACTAATTCCTGACTTCGGAATCTGCATCCCCGCTGGTAATACTATAGCGAATCTCAGTTGAGTAACTAAGCTGAGCAGTGATGCGGTATTGATTGATAAGCCAGCGATCCTTCTTGGAGCCGCTCGCGGCGCCGTTGCTCCGGGTAGGGAGGTACGTTAGCAGGCGCGGCGGCCTTGTCACCTCGCCCGCGGGCAGCAGATGTAGTCGTCTGGCTGCTGCTGGCGAGGGGCGCGCGAGGGGCGTACCGGCCAGCCGCCACTTCCGGCCACGGCGATCATGACGCACGCCTTCAGCGGCGGCAATCGTGACGCAGATGTTCAGCGGCCGCGACCGTGAGCGCGGAAACCCCGCCACCGGAGCAAGGGCCGATACCGTGACCAATCACCACATCATCAACCGAGTCGAGGGATATCAGTCCAGTGCCTCTTTAGAACTGATAACCTCACTCTTTTGACGCAAATGACACGGCGTGTTTGTTTCAGATGAGAATGAATGCAAGTACCGCCCGTGCGACATCTTCGCGCGGTGTACGAACACGATGGGCGGCTTCTTCTGTTCCTGTTTCCCGGGATACGAAGGCGACGGCACAACTTGCACAGGTAGGTTTTCTTTTGACAGCACGGCGCCTTCTGCCGCGCCCGTCAGCCCACACACATCCTGTTCACCCACAACAGAGCGCGAGAGAAACCCAAGACCGGCTCTGTTTGTCCACTTTGGCGGAAGCCGCGTGCTGCTCCAAACAAAAGACGGCCTTAGCTGGCCTGAACCGCCGCCCGTCGGACGAGGCGAGAGCTACACGCAATATCGCCGACAGACGGCGTAAATCCTACATCCGCGCTGCAGCATTTGAGAGACAGGTCAGCGAAAAACAGCCGGGCTTGCCGCCGTGATAGCGGGTGGAGCCGGCCCTCGAGTCGACGCTGAGGGCGTCACAGTGAAAGGCTGCCAGGTGCCAACGGACGCGTGAGAGTGCCACTGTCGAGGGTCACAGCGGGGGCCGGAGAGCGCGTGGGTCGTGGGGGTCGCCTTGGTGGCGACTGGCGGATGTCCGCCCAGGTATAACCTAGTTTCATCGGCTGCAGGATGGCAACTGAGGAAGTGTGGTCCTGAGATACACATGGGCCAGCTTCAACGGGTAGCTCCATGCATCTTGTACGGAGTCTGGGCTGCTAAGAACCCCTTTATGAACGCTCACCTCAGCGCGACTTGTAGCAATGTAGCTGGGTAGCTGACTCGTGATTAATCCCTGGGCGTCGCCGGCACAGACAGATTAGATCTGCCCACTGGCCGTCTGAGGAGGGGGCGGGGGAGGGGAGCGGTGTCAGCGCGCCTCCACGCGCACTGACGTCACCCTGCGCTTATGGAAAACAGGCGGGTCCGGCACTCCGCCCAAACAGCGCCTATCCCTCCGCCTAATGCGCGCACAAGCGGGAGGGTGGCTGAAGAGGCAGCCGAAACGACTGATATCTCCCAGAACCGAGGAGTAGAGAAGCGGCGGTGCCAGGCACCCTCCCCATGTTAATCAGGGGAGAAGGGCGGGTGCAGCGGATGGTGCAGCTCAGCGACTGCACCACCCATATGTCTGAGTGCATGATTCGTAGAGGACACAAAGAAGTCTGTGCGCGGTCGCCGACTCCGGCCCGGACCGTAAATCACCCTGCAGCAGCGCCTGCCTCCCGCCGCGGAGGGTGTCTCGAGACGCGCCGACGCGCCCAGAAAGTCGGCGTCACGGCCGCCCGCAGCCACGTCATGCGGCGAGCGGTGCCAGCCCCGCGCGGAATGCGGCGCCCACTCGCGCGCTGCGTGCAGGTGCTGAGATGAGCAAGCGGTGCCGGGCACCAGGGCTGACGGCAGAGCTCCACCCATAGCTCCGGTCGGCCGACCCGCTCCCGCGCGCTAAAAACGCCGCCACACCGCGCCCGGTGAAGGGAGATGGGGTCAGCGCCGCGGTGTCACGACCGGCACGAGTTAACCAAGCGGAGCCGGGTCAGGTGTCGGCGGTTTAACCCGCGCCCCAGTGGCGGTCTCGGCCAACTTCGCCCTAGTGAGGGGGGCATATGTTACCACCCACCTCTAACTCAAAAACTAAGAGGGCTAGAAAGACGCGGTAAAAAGCAGTCGATAGCTCTCAATACGTACGTTTGAAAGTATTTCGGTCATTTTTCACCTTAGAGCAATATTGGGGTCACCAGAGGTCATCAAAGGTCAAAATTTGCCAATTGTCATTATATTTTTCAGAAAACATGCCGCTATCTCAGGAACTATGGTAGCTAGAAAAACGCATGGAAGAGCAATCGATAGCTTTTGAACTATTCTTTTGAAAAGGTCATTATCAATATTGTCCTCAGGTCAACGGTTTAGCCTCCAGAGGGCAAAAACTCCCAAAATAGCTGTTTTTACGAAAAGTGTTTTTCGACGATAACTTTCGACTACAAAAAGCCACGACATTTCTATTGCCAGAATCGTGTTCCCCTCACCGAGACGCGTCGAATGAACTATAATTTGACCTTGAAAGGTCAACTTAAAAATTTGACCTCAGGTCAAGGTCATGACCTGACCGGAAAAGGTCATGTTGCATATCAGTCGATGCGTCTCAACAAGACAAACACAATGAGACCATCCCCAGCGTTCTATCTCTTTCCAATCGCGAGTTATTGGCAAAAAACTGTTTGTAGCCTCAAATGACCTCGGATGACCTTTCTAGAGGCTATCAGCAAAAATGACACCTTGGTCATCACGAGTGGACTAAATCATTGTGATTCTGAAATATTTGGACTGTTCCTATGCGTACACACGGATCTAGAGGCATTTTCATTTTTCTCCATTGACTTGTAATGGAAAGGTCATGCCACTGACCTGACCTTAGGTCACTGATATAAAAAATCCGAGATATACAAATTGTAGGTTCCCATAACAGCATGCAATCCACCAAGTTTCAAACCTTTCTGACAAACACTGCAGGCTGGACATGATTGCAAACTTTTTTTAAGGCTTGGTCAGTTAACTTGACCTGGTGACCTGACCTGACATGACCTGGGGTCAAAAATTTCACACATTGTCCAAAATTGATGTACCAAAAGCTACCCCAAGCGGCGCGGCGCTACGCGCCGCGGTTTTTTATTCACACGCGAAAAACGCGACAGGGTGGTAACATATGCCCCCCCCCCCACTGGGGCGAAGGTTAAAGGGCCGGGCGGGGCGGGGCGGGCTGGAGATGGCAGGGGGAGGGCGCGGGCCGCCCCACCAGGTGTGGGCCGACACTGCCGCGCCGACCGGCGCCGGCAAGGCCAGCCAGCCGGCCGGCCGGCCCCGCGGCCGCCCACGCCGGCGCCGATGAAGTGGAGAGACGGTGCTGGCGGCTGGGGCGGTGGCTCCGCCTCAGCGGCACCGAGGCCGCCGCCCGCCGCCGGCGGCCGTCAGTCCACAGCCGCGCCCGCCCGCCCGTCCGGCACGCACCTTCTGCTCATCTGCACATTCACGGCCCGCTCCCAGCCGTGACACGGGCCGGTCACCGGCACTCCACCCCCGCCGCCCACCGGCTGTGCCTGTGCTTGAGCCGTTTGGGGGGCACCGGGCGGTGATGTGGGCGCCCACCAAGGTCAGCGTGCCGCCCTCCACCGCCACCAGATGAGCCGATCGGCCGCGGTCAGTGGCGGTGCCCGTTCATCAGACCGAGCCGACCTCCTCACTAGACGGAAGGACCGGCGGCGCTCCACTCCTTATCGGGACGGGCGAAAGTGACGCGGCCGCGCGTTCTCGGAGCGGCATTGTGACGTTCCGCTGGCCGGCCGTCTCCATGGCGACCCAGACACCGCCGGCGGGATGGTATATTCGCAGAGTGACGGAGCGTCCCGCAGGCCGACACCCTGTGGTCCTGTCGACGACTCACTGTAACGGGCCGTGTCCACTGCCGGTCAGTGCTCTGCGCTTCGCACAATGAGAAGCAGGACGGCGGCGCGGCCGCAGCAGCCGGGCGCGCGTGCAGTGCGCGGTCCGACACACCACCACTGAGGTTTCGCTTTCTGTCAGCGGTGGTAACGGCGTCGGGCCGCCTGCACGTAACCAGGTCGCGGCATTGCACCGGAGAGAAGCCCGGCTGCAGCCGGCACCGGGCCGGGCCTTGAGGCGGGCTTAGCCCGTCAGCGAGTCCACCCTCGCAACCCGGGACGTAGGTATCTCAGACGCCGGATGATAGCGCTCGTGAGCGGCCGACTGAGCCGGCTCGGCCGGGCCGTGAGGAGTGACGAGGCGCGGCCGTGAACGCGGGCGCTGGAGCTCATTTCCGAGACCGCGCTGAATTAACGCACCTGCCACCCGCGGCCAGAGCTGGGAGAGTTGACAGCGCGTCCGGGCGCACCGGAGCGCGGCCACACTTTCCCAGTTCGAGGATGCCCGTCACGTCTGTGTCGCGACCCGGAGGCCGCCTCCGAGACCGACCGGCCGACCCGTCATGGCGCACGCCACCCATATAAGGTCGTTTGCGCAACGCGGAAGGCTGTTGGCGCACGATGGCTTTCACCGCAGCCGGACTGTTTTGCCGGGTGGCGTCGCGGCGCGATGCGCCATTGTGGCCCGTCCATATCGGGCGGTGGCCGCTCTGATTCCGATAAATACCTCCCAAAAGGAGGTCTCATTAACCCGCGCCCTGCTGGGGGGGGGGGTGTTTGAACACCCCCCTTGTGGTTTTTCGCGAATATCTCAAAAACGGCGGCGCGGAGCGCCGCCGTTTTTGGTACAAATTATTATACATCAATTCTACACAAGTTGTGAAAATTTCAGACCAAGGTCATTCAAGGTCAGGTCACCAGGTCACTTGAAGTGACCTCACCTCATAAAAAGTTTCAATGTCTGTCATAGCTACACCGAGTGACCGATCGCTTTGAAACTTTCAGCAATTGCTAAGAGCAATAGCATGTACAAAATGTATATCTCAGAATTTTGATATCGATGACCTAAGGTCAGGTCAATTTTGCGACCTCCCCATTATAAGTCAATGGGAGAAAATTGAAATGCGCCTCTTTTGGTCGAAAGACATTATAAACACTCCCAAACACCGAATTACAAGTGGTTTAGACACACTGAACATGAAAATGGTGTCCGTGACCCTTGTTTATGCCCTGAGGTCATCTTAGGTCACGAATGGTATCTAACAGTTTTTCGCAAATAACTTTTGATAAAGGCATGCTAGAGCGATGAAAACGCCTTAGATGTGTTCAGCTCGACGATACGGATCGACTGATATGCAACATGACCCTTTCCGGTCAGGTCATGACCTTGACCTGAGGTCAAATTTTCAAGTTGACCTTTCAAGGTCAAGTTATAGTTCATTCGATGCGTCTTGACGAGAGGAACACGATGCCGGTAAAAGTAAGCTCGTACAGGGCTTGGGTCAAAAGTTATTGCAGAAAAACTGTTTCCGAAAAAATCGGCTATTTTTGCAGTTTTTGCCCCCTGCAGGCAAAACCGTTGGCGTTAGGTAAAATCTGAGAGAATTACTCAGAAAGGGCGTTAATAGGGCTATCGAATGCGCTTTTCCGCGGCGCTGTAGCTCTATTGGTTCCCGAGTTATGCGTTGGCTTCTTGGAAATTTTCGACATTCGACCTGGAAATCGGCGAAATTTTGCCTTCAATGACCTCTGGTGACCTGACCTTTGACCTGACCAAAAAATTGACCGAAGTGATTTCGTCATTATTTTTGACGCTCTTTCGAACGCCGCCTTCCGCGTATCGCTACGTGGCCCAGGAGCCGAGTTACAAGGGGGGTGTTCAAACACCCCCCCCCCCCCAGCAGGGCGTGGAAATCCAGGACCCCCAGCCGGGCGCGGGTTAAAGGGACCCTCCCATCTTAACATTAGATTTGAGTTGAGATAGCCAAAATGGGGTCCCTGGCTCACAATTACCGGTTTCGGCACTCACAACATCGAGAAATGCCTTAAATCGGAAATATTGAATTTCAAAATTGCAGCATTTTGATTCAGAGGGGCTAATGCATAGGAATACCCCTCTGAATGTGTGACGTCAGCGCAGATATCTAACGATTTTTAAATGTTTGACTAAAACGTTTTGTAGCACGCGGTGGTATATGCTGCTTTGCGCGCAACAAGTGCCGCACTTTCAGCTGCCAAACTATTGTTTCCAAATAAAGTCGCTAGGAACAGCGGAGATCCCAAAAAGTAAACAAAAGTAAAAGTCTAATATCTTGAAAACCGGTGAATGTTTTTCGGTGAAATTTGGTAGATATTTGTTTTCGCTCTTTCTGAACCGAGCGACATCACTTTCATGCCAATTCATAAACTTTTTTGAAGGTGGGAGGGTCCCTTTAATGGTATGGTCCGCACGACATCGCCGTGTCACCACCCGGACTGCCCCGGTGGTCGGGACATGACCGGTCACGGGCAGGCTACGATCGCTGTCATTCCAAGATCCCACGCGCTGGTCGCTGTCCAGTCAGCTAGAACCACGCCAACCGTCCACGTCACCGTCCAATTGGGAATCCACTCGGTTCTCACACTGTGCCACACCTAGCTTGGTGCAGTGCAGTGCAGGAGGAGCGTCGGGCCGGGCTCGTTGGGAACGGTGGCCGAGGCCAATCAAACGCCAGCGATGGAACGCGGACGGAGAAAGCTGCGCTGCGTTTTATCATGGCGGGCCGGCGCGGCGGCCGCGTGCCACCGTCGCCGGGCCGCCGCGCTGGCAGGGAGGTTTCCCCGCACGCCTGCTAACGATCCACACACCCGGCGCGGCCGATGACGAGCGACCGGGCCCGGCGGCGCCGGTGACGCCCATCGGCTGGTTATGACACGGACGGCCGTCACTCAGGCCACCACCCACGCTCGTCAGCAACAGCGACCGGCGAACTCGGCAGCGGCGAGGCGCTGGCCTTATGTGTAAATCCGAAAACCGGCCGCTGGGAAGCTCCGACATGCACCGCTAACAATGGGTGTGCACACAGGAAAACTGTATTTCAAGGAATGCACACGATTTGAAAATAACTGTGGACACATGTGAAGAACACCGGGTGAAGGTGTTTGTTTGGTTTGACGGAATTGTTGCGGCATGACGCAACGAGACCAGCACGACATGAGACACGTCTCTGCCCGTTGCTCGTGCTCGGTGGCCGGCGAAGTGAGCTGCTGGGGCCGACCCGAGGACCGCCCACGCCGTCCAGCCAGCCGACCTCGCTGCGGCGGGGCCGGTTACGGCGCGGCCGGGGCCCCAGCCGACCTGCCGGGCCTGTCACGTGACTGGCCTTGCAGAGCAGCGGTCGCTCCGATGACGTCACCGGCTCCAGTGTCGCGCCGCGTCCACCGTGTTGTCGAGATGGCGAGATAAGCCGCCGGTCGCCGGCTGACGAGCGCAGGTCGGTACAGCCGCCACATGTGCACATAGCGCCGTCCTGTGCCCAGACGGTGCCGCTGACCGGTCGCGTGATCGGCCCGGAGGAGCTCTCCGGTCAAAAGATATAAAACAGGCCGACTTTCTCCGACACAATTGCTTCCTCTCCCAGCTGGAGCCAACTGTACGCTCGACGGAAGGCATTCAGCCTCGCGCTTTGTCCATCGGCGCCTGGATGAAGCGGCACGCTATCTCACGCACAATCACTGTTTCCTCTCGTAAATTCGTCCGGTCATGGCGGCAGCCCTGAACAGTACACCTGCCCGATAGACGGTCTCGGCGCGGCGCTGATGGCGGTTGATAACCTGACGCACCCGGGCAGTTCAGCTCTGCGACAGCACCGTGCACTTGAACAGACCAGTACGGGCAAGAGAGGCTGGGGACTGGGGAATGTCAAAGGCATGTATTACGAGACTAAAAAGTCGTGTGCATTCAGACATGAAGCTGTTGTAATACAGTGGTGAGGAGCTCAAACTCTCACCCTCGGCCGTTAGTCGACAACAAAAAGTGACCTGGTGTTTGACGCCAGCACGATGGTTTATATAAAGCGCCTATAAACAGCATGGGTTCTAACGTAAATTTAGGCACTCCACACAAAAAAAGCCGAATCTTACGTACTAAGCAAGAAGCCATTTCGACCACTACACTATAATAAGTTAGTTATGTCTAAACGGTCTTTGGCATCCCACACAACGCGCTCTCGCGCGACGCTGCTAGTTCTTATTGTCCATTGTTTATGTGAGCTGTGTTGTAAGACAGTGCGATTTCACCAGCAGCTTTCGTTTATCAGATGGATGCAAAACAGACCAGTTTCCGACAGTTGGCCGTTCCAGATTCTCACCGTTCCCATGAGGACAACTGCAAAGAATCGCTTATCGGTCCGACGCCATCGCGTTTCGGGCAAATATCCTTGACTGTACCCCGGGTTTCCACGCTATCGGCTGTGTCGCTGTACATCCTTTCCTCCACTGCTGTAACTGTTCTGGAACCATATCACCGATGCCTATGTGGCGCATGCTGAGCCTATGTTATACGGAAACGTGCGTCTAAAGTAATGCGTAGCTCGTGCGTCGGGCGTCCACGTACACAGCTGTCACAGAATCAACCAATGACACATGGACATCTCTTTCCGCAGATATCGACGAATGTCTGGACCCAGAGCTTGCAGCCCGGTGCGTCCCCAACGCCGAGTGCTGCAATCTCCCGGCCCACTACGTCTGCAAGTGCAAGGAGGGCTTCGAGGGCAAGGGCGACGAGGAATGTCGAGGTGAGTTACACCCGGTCCCCGCTGCAGGGGCCGCTCGACCCCGAACTAGGCCAGACCAGTCGCGTGTCAGTGCCAATTTTTGCGCGCCGTCCGCCCCTGTCGCGACTTTTGCGGAGCCGTTCGGTTGCGGGACAGATCCGGGAGGGACGGGCGCCTGCCTGCTTCCGCGCAGTGGATGCGCCTCTGTATTGGGAAGACTTGTGGTTGTCCGCCGTCCGTTGTCCACCGCCCACAGCCCGTCGGCCACCGCCCTAGTCGGTCGGTAACAGCGCCGGGGACGACGTTTCACCTCGGCCGCAGTCGCATCAGCAAACCGTGAAATTCAGAGCGCTATCGCTGTCGACCGCGGTCCACGCCGCGGCTAATCCAACAGAAACCGCTTTTAAGTGGCCATTGCATGTTCGCACTGGGTCCTCCTGACGGGACAATCCCAGACATAGCCGTTCTAAGCGGCGTTTTCGCGAGGTGCGGCTGGACATTGCCGTCTGAATGGCGGCGAACTGGGCCGCCGCCCGCCGATCGCCCGCGGCGACCGCCACTGCTAATAATCCCATGCGAAAACACACGAACCGGCCGACCGACGGTACAAATCACTGAGAACGTTTTCACTTTTGTTTACTCGCGTGCGTCCTGCCCAGGGCTGTTTGTGCGCGGTGAGGCGCTCCCGTCCACGCGCGTGTAGCGCCCGAGGGCCGGTCGGTGGGCAGATATGGTCGGTCGGTCGACCAGCACTCTCGCCTGTCACCAGTAAGCGCCGTACTCGATACATCAGGCCGGAGGGGAGGCGTGTCGACCGACAGTTAGCTGTGAACGCCGGCGCCGCAATGTCGAGTGCAAATGCACGCCGGAAGGGTGAACGCACCATGAGAATAGCGAGTGCGCTGCTTCAGTTGAGTTAATGGTCCCGACAGCCGGCCTCGCGGTGACGAGGTCTTTGTCAGCGCTGTCGTTGGCGGCGGTGTCTTTGACCCCGGTCACGGCTTCACGCCGCTGTTAGGCGGCCACGGATCAGTGCTGCTCCTTTGAGGAGACAAAGCGGCGCTCCGCCAAATCGGAACGGCGCCCGCCACCAGGCCCGAGAGTGCCGCCGGCTGAAGGTCCGCGAAGTACGATGTTCCTGGGTACTCAGCGCCCACTGATCGCCACTGCCTACCCGAGGTGTTATGAACAATGGCGAGCCTGCCCACAAAAACGACACATGATATCCGTGATCGGCCGATTACTGCGTCCCAATAACCGTCGTAGCCCGGGTTACGCGCCAGGTCGGCAGCTGAAAAACCGGCCAGATGCATAACTCAACAAATGCGCTGCTTCAGTGAGTTATTGAGGGTGGTCCGGCCACCCAACACTTTACCGGCGGCCTTTTTGCGAGCCCCACACGCGGACACCATTCATTTGGGCGAGACGTGCCAGCGCCCAGTCATGAGACCGGCAAATAGACGCCGACACAAAAAGCGTCAAAGTGTAGCAGTTTTTTACTGCGGCGTTGTATGCGTCGGTACCGAAGCGTGCTTCCCTCGCCAGCCGGGGACTTGAGACAGTCTCGAAAAAATCTTGAAAGGTCAGTGCACGTTTGTGCCACTCCCGCCGCCGATGCCTGTGAGCGGGCCTTCGTTCGCTCGAGTACCCGCTGGGCGGCATGGGCAGCGCTGGTCCCGGCGGGAGGCCGCGCACCAGCCACGCTCGTCTCGCTCGCCGGTGGCGGCCATTGCCCGTCAGGCGGAAAACCACTCGGCCGAGACGAGACCGGCCTCGAGCCGGGGGCACAGCTGAGAGCCGGAGACTCACTACCGCCGCCGGCTGGCGGGCACCGCCACCTCAGACGCACTAATGGACGTGTGTAATTGCACTGTGGTAGTCGCATCAAATATCGGCCAGTTTTTGTCGATCCCGTCTCGTCCGACCGCGGTCGGCAGAGAGGATAACGACCTCGAGCCGGTGGTCGTGGTACCCGGAACACCGCCGCTGCAGTGCCACCGCGTCCCGCCCGTCCGCGGCAGCTGCACGCACACCGCACACCGCACACCGCACACGGGCGCCGGAGCCGCCTGACGACGCGCTTTTTGCCGCACCCGTGAGCGGCGGCGTTCACCGGCAGCGCACCTGAGGAGTCTATCTCGAGGGGCGAACAGGGGTGGGCTGCGGCGATCATCGCAGCCTAGCTGAATGCTATGTCACTGCCGAACTAGCTCGCTCCGTAAAAGGACTGCCAAACGACAGGCTATAGACGACAGATGACCGATGAATTGCGGGAATCTGCGCCGACACCCGCGCTCGCCCGTCGCCCGTCACGGAGATGCTTTCAGCGCGGTCCGTTTTGTCTGTCAGCCGCCGTGTGGTCCGGCCGTCAGCTGCCTGTGTCGGTCTGTCCGCCCTGCCGGCTGTCTCCCCGTCACCGCCCGCCCGCCCCAACAGCCTGTCACGCCCATCCCGCCCGCCTCTGTCCGCAGATATCGACGAGTGTTCCAGGCCGGACGCCTGTGGAGCCAACGCCATCTGCCAGAACTACCCGGGAAACTACACCTGCACCTGTCCGGAGGGATACGTCGGCAACGCCTACGACGGGGTGAGTACGCACTCCCCCCACCAATGTCACAGTCGGGGGCGCCCCTCAATAGCAGCTCGACTCGTTCCGCGGCGTTCCTCACGCCGGGATGACCGGACTGTCATCGGCGCTTGCTCCTCTTAGGGCTTACCTCGAGCCAACGAACACGTTCGTTCCTCGCCACAACCATTCAAACCCTCCAACTGTGACGCTTCCTCCCAAACGCTATGCGTCAGTTAACTAGCTCTGGCAGGCTCGCGTGGGCAGAGCCGGTCAACACCGCGCATTCCGGCATCTGAGCCGGCCCGCCGCCCAGATAAAAACCTGTTTTCACGAGGAGAAAAACGCCGTGGTCGAGCGCTGGCTCTGAGTTATTGCATGTGACCGAATCGGAGGGTCGCCGCTGTTCAGTTGGGGAGCAGCGGGGGTCTTCTCCGTCGATTTTCCAGTCGCTCTCCCACGCACGGAACAAAACTGGCAAAGGAGACTTCGCGAAGGGATGGCCACCTCCCCATAAGACAGTGATCAGAACGCAGCAGCACGATGCATTCAGAGAAGGGAGGCATTACAGTTATCAATGCATAGCATTCGTCGAATGTTTGGCTTTCGCTGGCGTCCCTTCAAAACATTTCTTTGAAAGACAGACCGGTCTAGTCATCCGTCGTCGGGACTCGTTTATAAGTACCCAGCCCGTCTGCTCACCATCCGATCACTTGCTAAGGAGAGTCCTGATTAATGGTTAACAAGTCACGACCTCCTCGTGTCAGTTCTGCAGCTTTCTGATCCGTGCCTGGTGAACGTGACCACTAATCCCCTGGTGTTCAATCCGCAGTGTGTCGACTACGACGAGTGTAACGAGCGAGGCATGTGCGGCCCGAACGCCCGCTGTCGGAACACGGTCGGCGGCCACGAGTGCTCCTGCGACGCCGGCTTCGTGGGCGACCCGTACTCGCGCAGCGGCTGTATCGACGTGAACGAGTGCACCCGGGATCCGTGCGGAGCCGGCGCGCTCTGCAAGAACACGCCGGGCAACTACACCTGCCAGTGCCCGCCCGGCTTCCGCGGCGACCCGCTCGTCCAATGTCAGGGTGAGTCCCGGCCCGACCGGCCGCTAAGGTCACTGCCCCGCGCCACTGTCATTAACCGGGCGAGTCCGGAACACCCATAACCCGGCAACTAATGTGAGCCCGCTGCAGTCGTTGCACGGGTCGACTAACGTTCCCCGCCGACCAGCCGTGACCCGTGTCGTGGGAGTGCAGAGGCGGACCACTCGACCGCCTCGCCCTCTGTGCATACTAGCCCCTAACTACCCGGCAGTCTCACATCAGCCCGTAACGAGTTCAGTCTAATCGTGTAGCCTCACCGGTCACTGTACATACAACATGCACTAAGCGCCCACTGCCCCCGCTAACCCGTAACTCGCTTGTTCACTAAGACCTGGACGAGTGCCTGGAGGGCACGCCGCTGGGCCCGGGCGGCGAGGCTCGGAACGCCAGCTCTCTGTGCGGTGCCGGCGCCATGTGCATGAACACGGCCGGCAGCTACAAGTGCGCCTGTCCGCCCGGCTACACGGGCGACCCCGCAGACGCCTGCTCGGACATCAACGAGTGCGGCCGGCCCATGACCTGCGGCGTGAACGCCGCCTGCCGCAACGAGCCCGGCGGCTTCGCCTGCTTCTGCCCGGAGGGCTTCAGCGGCGACGGCCGCGTCTTCTGCGAGAGTTAGTCACGTCACCGCGGAGGGACCGCGTCGGCCACCGACTGCCGACTCTCCTTCGACGTCCGCTGTCCGTCCGCTAACGCGGCTCTCGTAGAAACTCGACTCCTAAGCTTGCTATGCGCGCATCCGCCGACGAAGGGAGGACGGCGCGCTCTCCAGCCGACTCCCACGGCTTGCTTTCTCCTCCGGGCGGTGCCAGCCGCCGGGTCTCTTCCGCCAACTCCGCCGGGGCTACTCGTACTACCTTCGCCATCGCCAGTCACTATATTCGCTGCCAAACAATTCCGTCTCCCCTTTCTTGTGCTTTTCTGTCTGATGCTTATGTTTTGACGTCTGCCTGCTCTTGTCTCTGACGCTGTCTTACGCGACGATCCTGTCACCTGGTACGAACTACGAAGCGCCGCTCAAGGACAGAGAAGCAGACCCGGACGTGCCACCGAGCTGCGCATGAACAGACGCCGTAAAACTGACGATTATGTCCTCTACCCTTTGAAGTACCTATCATCTCGATGACCAGTATGCATGTCGACTGATATGAACTTTTACTTAACCCTCGCCCGCACATGCCATTTTCCCATCCTAGAACGCACATGGGGGGGGGGGGTGGTTGTCACCCCCCCCGCGCCATTTCGTTCCTGTTGGAGATAGAGCTTAGCAGTAAAGACCAAAAAGATTCTTTGGGAAGAGACGAATCCAATGATACCCAGTTTTACCTTCTCAGGTCAGTCATTGACCTTCCAGGTCAGGTCAAACTAAAAAATGTTGCTGTTTTGGGTCACCGTTGGATATCAAGTGCGCTGTTTATCAAATACCGATGACGATGCTGTTTTCTGGTGCCAAGCCAGCTAGAACCTCTTTGTCACACTATCCGACCAGAATTTTGCTGCTGAGGTCATTTCAGGTCAAGTTAGGTCAAGGTCAATTATATGTGTTTGTATGTCTGTGTGTGCCTGTGTGTATACTGATGTGTGCACCGATTGTTTTTGGGTCCATATCACATGAAATCATGATCTGAGAAGCTTCTACCAAAAATGCAGTCAAAAAACTTCACAAAAAGTAAATTCAGCTTGCCTAAAACGCAATTATATTAGATGACCTAGGTTGACCTTGACCCTGACCTTGACCCCTGTACATCGTCGGACAACATGTTCCATGATAGGTGGGAGGTAAGACTGGCAAAAAAGGCCGAAATCAGGGTGTCAAAAGCTCACAAGGCCCATGGCAAACGCAAGATGTTGAGAATTGGCCATTTGGGTCATGACATGACCTGAAAAACAAGGTCATATCTCCGAAACCAAAAATCACAGAAACTTGAAATTTTCAGTGGACATCAAGAAAGGATAGACGAGCAGCTATACGAAAAATCAGCCTTCTAGCTCTAAAAATGTTGAGTGCAGAGCAGAAAGACTGCCTGGGGGGGGGTGGCAACCACCCCCCCCCCCCATGTGCGGGCGAGGGTTAAGTGTAGGTATGCTGAACGACTTTTTCAGACATCCTTCAGGAGTGATGTGTCCTTTTCTTCACATTTAGATACCGCGCATGACATCTGTTTACTGTCGAATCGCTGACCTTTGACGTCGACAACCCTGAGATTTTGTGTCGTTAAGTCAAACATCCAGCTCATTAAACCATTAAAGATCAGAGATCTCTAATCAAAAGCCGCATTTCCCGCAGGCCCTAGCTAACAAATGTAACAGACCATACGAACGTTTTGGAAGACAATGGCTCCAATAGGGCGAAAACTGGGGCGGCTCGGTGACACAGTCTATTCCACAGACATTGACGAGTGTGCCAAGAACCCTTGTGGAGCCAACGCCCGCTGCATCGACACTGTGGGCGCCTTCACGTGCCAGTGTCTGCCCGACTACACCGGCAACCCGTACAAGGGCTGCACAGGTCAGTGTTGATCGTCTCCCGGTCACTTCAGCCGGAACGCACTCCGACAATGGTGCCTACTGGCGGTGTCGATCGAGACCCATCGCGCTCAGAGCCGCCGCCGACCAGTCAAAACCGGATGCTGCGGTGATTTGAATTTCAAATAGGCCCGAGCGAAACTCATTTAGTCTTCCGTCTCATTATTCAGCACCGCAGTGAAGGACGGCCTCATTCTCGTCCCTCGGGAGGCCGTTGTTTTTGGGACAGTCAGCTGATGCTGAGAAAAGACTGGTCACTCGATCGCTACAGTAGACAACAATAGGCTTCCCACTTCCCAGTTCCCAGTCCACACAGTGATTCACGCCACCCACTGGTCTCGGTAAAAGGAAACTAACGGGAAAAGAGAAAGGGAAACGTTTTGCAAAAATGTGGCCAGCATAATTTTGGCGGTCTCCAATATTTCCGATTCCATATTCCTGCTTTTTCAATGCCTGTTTCACCATAGTCTTGTAATTACAGGTGTTTGTAGTTTACAGTTCATAAGTATTTTGCAAACTTTGTAAAAATTCACGACACCTGGCACGTTCTGTAAGAAATGTAAACAAACTTGCAAGCAAGGCTATGGCTGTAAAGTAAGATTGCAACCAAGAACAATACCTACCGTGCAACTGATATTGCATTTTTATTAAAATCTGTCTAGTTTTGATTTGAGAAATTACTTATAGAAATTAAAAATAATGATATAATTGCAATTTATTATAAGTTTAAGTTTACAATGTCTTATTATTGAAAGAAATTAGAGGCCAAACAGCAGAAAAGTATTGAGTGCAATTATGACGCGCGAGTGACAAAACATGATGATATTGGAAAATAATTGAAAACCATGCTTACCTACCAACTCTGAAGACATGAAAGTGGCAATAAGACATTTACGGACGCTCTGAGCCCGATGAGGCTATGCGCCCTAACCCACGACCAAGACCAAGACCATTGAAAACCATGCTTTTTAGGTTTCTTATAGGTATCTTGCTTTTTAGCAGGGCGCTTGTTTTCGCAATGCTTTCTTTCAAGTCCCTGGTCTTGAGACAGAAAGTTACCGATTTCAACGGTTCTTACCAAGGCATCTTACCTACCAAACTTCTTGTAATAAAATTAATTTTGCAACTTGTAAACTCAAAATTCGTGCTGGAAGGTTTCGTGAATTCCAAATTTCAATTCCTCCTTCATCCCATCAGCCCGGAGTGGAGTGGGTGATGGGGTCAAGGGGGAGGGAATCCGTTGGGGAGCGGTCCAGCCGCAACGGCACCCACGGCGCGGCCTCGCACCATACCGTAATTGGTCCGATCCGGCCGGCCGCCCGCAGCCGGCCCTGTCACCTCCCGGAAAACTGACCGCCGCCCCCGACCGCAGACATCAACGAGTGCGTCGTGTACGGCAAGCCGTGCGGCGACTACGCCATCTGCAAGAACACCGAGCCGGGATACTCGTGCCGGTGCCCGCAGGGCTACCAGGCCAACCCGACCCCGGCCGTCGCCTGCGAACAGGTCAGTCAACGAGCACACAGACATCCAGAACATTCCAGGCTGCAACTTCGGCAGACAGCACCGCAAACCTAATGATCAGTCAATGATTCTACGTTCACCGTCAAACTACAACGGGGTTATGTAATTCGATTTAGCTCTGAAAAGCTCCCCTTGCGTCGCCCACGGCGACCTAAGACCGTTGATACTGGGCAGTGGGCAGCTGATGGACGGGTAGATGGAAGGCTCTGATGTTATCAGTCACGGTGGCCAGCGGCCCCCGGGACGGGCGAGGTCAGCTGTCGGGTCACCTGCCAGCGACACGGGGCGCGGTTCAGAAAGGGAGGCCACACCACACAGGGAGGTCGGGTTACATGCAGTGCTGTGGCGCCATTAGTAACCCGTGCGGAGTCACGCAGGATAGTGTAATTCATCTGACCGTTATAATGAAGAGCACCGCACTGACACATGGCTTTAACGAGGTGGTTCCGATGAGCACGTAGTATAAAGGTGAATCACTAAAGCTTCAGATGGTTAGCTAAGCGTGTCATACCCACTTGCGACAACACGGAATCTCTTTAGATGCATGACATTTCATCATTTATCACAAGACCACAAAAACACCAGCCAGAAACTTATGGGCGCCCCTTATTCCCCGAGTTTTACCGCCACTATAAAAACGTCAATCCCTCCATCAGTTATCGAGTGGGATTAACGGTACCTCGCTTGCTGACAGGTTGACGTCAAGATCCTCTGCAAATCCAACTTCGACTGTGTCAACAACGCCGAGTGCAAGGAGGGCCAGTGCTTCTGCAAGAGCGGCTTCGAGGAGCGCGGCACAACATGTGTGGACGTCGACGAATGCGCCAAGTCGCCGTGCGGGGCCAACTCGCATTGCGTCAACGTGCCGGGCAGCTACCGGTGCGAGTGCGACGCCGGCTTCATCGGCAATCCGCCGAGCACGCCGTGCAGAGGTGAGTTCCCGCTCCGGCGGCCCCAGCTGCGGACGGCCCTGACACCGAGAGCCGAGCGCGGACCGGCATACACCACCGCGCGACCGGCGACTTTCACGGCACGGATGCGGGTCGTCGGGCCACGGGGGCGGGGTGGGACGGGGCGGGGTGGGGAGGGAGGGATACGGAGGAGAGGGAGGGTAGCAACTGGCGATACGGAGGCGGCAGCATGCGAGCTGCTTCTATTGAGCTGTCTCGGATGTCTCGAGATGTCAAAACGGTAGTTGTATTCGGGCCGGCCACCACCGAAATCTGACGGGATGACATCAGAATTCCCCGGACGGGGAGCCCTATCAATAGCCATGACCACGACGGCGGGATTGGCGGCCGATGACGCGGGCAGCGCGGCGTGGCCGGCAACGGCACGTCCGCGCCGAGCCGCCTGTCGGCCAGTGAAAGTCGGCCGCCGCGCCTGACACAGTGCTCCAGAACGGGGTGGCCGGCGGCGCGGCGACCCTGACCGGCCGCCGGCCACCGGCAATGTCCCGCAGACCAGGACGAGTGCGCCGGCGAGCCGTTTCCGTGCGGCGGCGGCGCGCAGTGCGCCAACACGCCGGGCGGGTTCCGCTGCCAGTGTCCGGCGCACCTCGCCGGCGACCCGCTCGTGCTCTGCTCCTGTGAGTGTGGCGTCACCACAGTGCGTCACGACCGCACCCGCTCGTCACGAGCCGCGCCGCCCGGGCACGACACGCACCACCGGGCAGCGATAGTGTAGCGCGCACCCGCCACCGACCGGCCCGCCGCGAGCGCCTGATGCAGCGACGCCTCTTCGACCTTCTGTCCCCCTGGCTGGCAAAAACCAGCATCTGTCTTGACAATCGTGGCTCAGCTATCGATCAGGGCAGATAGTCATGTTGCACGAACTCCGCTAATGACGATGACGGAATCAGTACTGACGATGATTTGCAGGGACGAAGCGGCCGCTCCACAGACAGTGTTTGACGTTGTGTTGGTGGTGGGTTTGTCTAACGTAGACAGATTTAATTCTTGTGTGACCTTGGAGCTGCGGGTGCCGCATAAAACGTTATTTACCTGCACCCTTCTGACGATAAACTGTGTATGAATCTTCCGAGTTTGAAGGCCTGACGCCATCTAATCCGAACAGACGGATGTTTTTACCCGACGCTAGGCGATATAAATCTACCAGACATACCGCAGTTGCTAAGTCGGTGTCGGCTTCTTCCACCAAACGCGCCGGGTTTAAACACATCCGACTGCTCTGCCTTACCGCTTCACTGAGCTTCTCTTACCGACCGTTAAACTGACTGTGACGTAACGCGACCTGAACTGACCCGAACTGACCTCAGCTGACCTGAACCGACCCGACTTGACCCGACGGCCAACTGCTTACAGCGCGTGACGGTAGATGCGCCTGTGACAGCATTCCGTGGAAGGCTATCCCGGCCCAGCCGCCCCGCGGCGGTCGAGGGTACGGTCGTGGTAAGACATCTACCTTCTACTGGCTATACCTATCTTACTTTCCTTCTATTACCTTCTCTGTGAAAGCACCATGTCAAAGACTGACTTGGCATCCAAAAGTCTAGACCATTTTCGACTTCTTCATTTTCGACTGGTCATTCTGTTCTCGACGTCAAAAACTTTCTGTTCATGCTCTCTGAAATTGTAAGCAATCTCACTTCATGCCTCAATCTGCATATCACTCTATCTAAACTTTTGTCCCGCACGCCTTTCAATGTAGCGTGTTTGCGACACGCCGCACACGTCTTCTCGTCTCTCTGTCTCGTTATCCTATACGTCACACGACCCACTGTGTGTTGCGGCTGGTCCGCATGTGTGACGCTCGACCTGACCTGCCGTGACGCTCCGGTGACGGACGCCGGATCTCCGGCCGTCACGCGACGTGACGATAGCGAGGATAGGAGCGGACGCTGCACGAGTCGAACTCCTCACGCACTCCGCACCTCCATATATAGACTGGCCGCCACGACCACGAATGACCTCACCGTATCTAGAAATAAACGTGCCAGAGGTTCACTGTAGTCATACTTCACCCGTAGTCACTGGGACATCCCAACACTTTTTCAAGTCCCCTATAAATTCAAATGTATAGGCAAAGACTAGCTCGATAAATAGGCATGAGACGCTTACCATAAACAACTCATGAAAATATCTCGACAGAGTTTGTCGATAAATAGAAGTCGAAACTTAACAAATACTCATCTACTCATGAAACTTATCCTCCCAATCGCTTTAAAAATTCTAACCTAAACCGCCGTTAACATACCCCTCCAAACTAGACACTTCCCCCGACCTTTGGCAAATATAGACCTGCCTAACCTGACCCCATCGCCCGCAGCGCCTTGCGACGGTATGGAGTGTGGCCCGCACGCCAAGTGCAAGCCCGACGGCCTGGAGGCGCTGTGTATCTGCGACGACGGCTGGACGTACGACCCCGTCAACGTCAAGGCCGGCTGCGTGGGTGAGTGTGAGAGCGCGGCTGGGAGGTGGCCACTGTGCAGCGGCCACCCGCCGGCCGCTCCGCCGAGAGACCGGCGAAATCCAACCGGATTCCGACAGTTTTACGGGGGCCGTGAGAGAAACGGCGCCTACTTACCGATGAAATCTGTCAAATTGCAGGTGTGACATTCCGAGGATGGTGACGCTTCGAAATTGAACATTTATTCATAAAAAAATATTTTTAGGAAAGTTACCCGGGCTGAGCAATCACGTGTCTTACAAAGGATGGACTGAGATGACGCTCTGTTTTCGGCAGATGTGAACGAGTGTGACCCGGTGCTGGGGCCGTCCGGTATGTGCGGCGAGGGAGCCGTGTGCACCAACACGGCCGGCAGCTACAGCTGCGCCTGCAAGCCGGGCTACTCGGGCAACCCGCAGGTCAAGTGTGTCGGTGAGTACCGTACTACATCGAGGGATAAACCTCATCCGACAGGTGGTGATGACATCTGGCATACCCGGCTTCCTGTTAACTGAATGTTGAAGAAGTGTGCAAAGCGAAGCCCAACAAGATGCAAAAACATTTACGTAGTAGTTGAGCAAAAGTATACCGATCAGCGTGATGTAATTTACAGAATTCGCTTTTATAACTTTTTAAAAGTTAATTCGATCCACCGTTGTCACTGGATGGTTTACAGCGGGAGCCCTAGGCCAATTACCATTGTGCCGCTCTCGTGAAATTTAGCGTCCTTGGGAACGACCGAGCCGGCGACGTTCCGTATTGTTCGTGCTGGGAAGGCCATTTGGAGACAATAAGGTTCCATTCGACACCGGGACAATTACAGTCCTAATTGACATCCCAACTTCAAAATATTCCCGCCGGATGCTCCGAATAAAACCCAAGCAGTTTACATAAAAACAGTATCGACTCACGATGGCGTGCTCTTCGAGAGACTAGCTGCGTATCAAAATATCCGGACCCTCTGGTGACCCATCGTTTGCACTATGGCTCGCGCCAGCGGCCGACCGTAGTCGGTTGCAGGGCAGGCCGGCCAACGGGGCCGCGGTGTCCGCCGGACACCTGAGAACCGGTCCATTACCAAGGTCACCGGCCACCATCGGGCCGATAAAAAGTGAAATGATCGCCGCATGCCCTGCCAGCGGACACCTGCATACATCGGCGCTACTCAGCAGAGCTCATGACTTGGGCGACTCTCCCGGAGAGCTGGACTGCACGCTCGAGGCTGCACGCATTCTGCGCATACCTCTCTCACTGAGCACGACCCCACCCCTGCAGCTGTGCACTACCCCAATTGCAGACCCTAACCAGCCGACACTTCACAGACGTGGACGAATGCCGGCGGCCGGGCGCCTGCGGCACCGGCGCCCTCTGCACCAACACCCCTGGCGGCTACAAGTGCTCGTGCCCCGAGGGGACCGAGCCGGCGCCGGACGCGCAGACCCTCTGCGTGGCGCTCATCACCTGCACCGGCGACGATGAGTGTCCTGGAAACTCCATGTGCGACCCGGCCGGACAGTGTCTCTGCCCCGAGCCCAACGTTGGAAACGACTGCCGACGTGAGTGGCGTGCCCTGGGTCCCGGCTCGTGGGGCAATATGGCTGTTGTTGCTGGTTTTTGCCTTAGTGACGGCTGAAAGAATGCGGTTACAAGCCGATAATGGTACCGGATCATGCACGTTGTTTTTGTGCTCCTGTTATTTCATTCGACCTGTTAAACCAGTCGGTACTGCCGAAGAGCCATTCATTTGTGACATTACGTTCGACCTGACCTTCCACCGCTCCCACCCACAGACCCGTGCGAGGACGTCTTCTGCGGCCCGAACGCCGAGTGCATGCTCATCAACGGCCTGCCCAAGTGCATGTGCGCCTCGGGCTTCACTGGCGGCGCGCTGAGCGGCTGCGTGGACATTGACGAGTGCGCCGGCTCGCCGTGCGCGCCCGGCGCCGTCTGCCGCAACAGCCGCGGCAGCTTCGTCTGCGAGTGTCCCAGCGGCTCCGAGGGCGACCCGTACCGCCAGGGCTGCATCGAGTCCAAGGAGGGCTCGTGTGGCCCGCAGCACCCGTGCCCGCCCAACGAGGACTGTGTCCGCGACGAGGGCGTCGGCAGTGACGTCTGCGTCTGCATGCGCGGCTACCGACGCGACGGCGCCTTCGGCAAGTGCGTCGACATCGACGAGTGCACGGACACCGCCGCGTCGGCGGCCGGCGTGTGCGGCGCCAACGCCATCTGCACCAACAAGCCCGGCACCTACGACTGCACCTGTCCGCCCGGCTTCGCCGGCAACGCCTTCTCCAGCTGCGAACCTCGTGAGTTGGGTGTGCAATGGCCGGGCCAATGGAGCCAGGTGTCTGAGCGTGGGACGGAACGGCTGGCAGTCGAGTGGAGTGACGGCGCACTCGACAGATGCCGCAAAAACTGGACGATGAGTAATCGTTCGAAAAATTGCTTCGGTGCTGACCGAGCACTTCGTACTATTGCACAATCAAAGCTCACAACTAATTGCTAGGTCACTGTCAAGATTTGATAAATCGTACGACAGATAACAATGAAAACCAGCCGTAGCAAGGCAGCTTTTATCTACGTTTTACAAATGCGAGGCACGCTTTGCGCAAACGACTAAAATATTTTTGCTTGATCGCATATTGTCACACCTGTTGCGCTTGCCAGTATGAAAAGACCACTTAGCTCGACATAGCTTTCCCTTGTAATCCTCACGAATGTCATGTAACGATTGATATCGTCTCTCGCAGAATCGAAGAGTGGCTGCCTGCCTCCGTTCAAGCTGATCGGCGGGGTGTGCGCACTGGGCCGGTGCTCGGGCGCCAAGGGCTGCGGACCGGGAGCGCGCTGTGTCCAGCTGGGCCGCCAGAGCTACTGCGTCTGCGACCAGGGCCACGTCGCTCAGCCCGACGGAACCTGCCAGGGTGAGCAGGGTTTACGTGGCGAGGAATATGTTGCAAGGCACGTGAATGGCCTCCGGTGACACCTATACTCAAACGAGCTAACCTGTCGTATTATCGGGTGGAGGAGCATTGCATGCACGATTTATGGTTCGCCTTTGAATTATGACGAAATACCGTAGGCTATTAGCTTCGGTTAGGTACTAGGGTTGACTATTAAGTAATGGAAGTGCCTTAAGCAATTAAACGGGTTTGCACGTGCACACATTATTTAGGTGTCATTTCATGCGCCGATCTTTTTCTATCCAATGGTGAAGACCACATGTCCCTAGCTACTTTTTGCTATAAGCTATCGTCGTTTTCCCAAGAGACCTCCCGAACCTGTGGCGCACCACCTGGCAATGGCCAAAGCCGCGCGCCAGCGCCGAGTGCAAGGTCATTAGAGCTCAGTTTGTCGTAGGGAAAAGGCCTACCAATATCAGAAAATTTATTTTCTAGTATGGAGCGACGCAGCCTCCCCACAGACGATATGTCGGTGGTTTCATCGGTTTGAGAAAGAAAGCGCCGATCAGTGTTCTGGCGGCGTTCCAGGAGTGGGTCAAGACGAGGCTGGAATGGTGTGTGATGCTTGAAGGCGATTATTTGGAGTAGTGTATGCTGTCATTTATCTTGCCAATGTGTATTGTTTTGATGAAAATATAGAAATTGTCCATTGTGTAGCCATAACAATAAGCCAATAAGCTCTGATGACCTCGCGCTGGCGCTTGGCGCGCGATTTTGGCCATTGCCAGACTCCTTTTTCATGGTGCGCCGCAGGTTCGGGTGGTCTCTTGGGAAAACGACGATAGCTTGGAGCAAGAAGTAGCTAAGGACATGTGGTCTTCACCATTGGATAGAAAAAACATCGGCGCATGAAATGACACCAAGAAAACATGTGCACGTGCAAAAACGTTAAATTGCTTAAGGCACTTCCATTACTTAATAGTCAACCCTAGTATTTTCATCATAAAACCAACGAGTTGGTAATTATGCATCACCCTGACGATTAGAAGCACGGAGGCGGGTGTTTTTAGGCTTATCAAGGAGCCGAAGGCAAGCTGAGTGGTGGTATTTCCAAAGACGTTCATCCACTGACGTCACTCGCGTCGTTCCGTGTTGCAGACGTGGACGAGTGCTCGGAGCCGACCTCGGACGGACGCCCGCCATGCGGTGTCGGCGCCGACTGTATCAACCTGGTCGGCTCGTTCGAGTGCGCGTGCCCCGAGGGCAGCTCGGGTAACCCCTACAGCGGCTGCACGGCCAACAAGGTCCAGTGCGGCCGCGACAGCGACTGCGGCCAGAACGAGAAGTGCGTGCAGCCGGGCCAGTGCGTCTGCCCGCCGCCCTACTACTCCGATACAGAGGACGGCAATAGGTGCAAGAGTGAGTATACCACAGTTCTGCACTGTCATTCAGTCATGTTTACTGTCATGCATCACAGCTGAGTTATTCCTGGAGTTGAAAGGTTGCTGAACTATCGAGGTAGTTATCCCGAGAATCGTGAGTGAGACATTACGATAACGCACGACTGATAGTGATCAGTGCATTACACTGCAGCAGCACTGAATGCCTCGCTGACGGGCGTTTTCGGCGTTCACAGGTCCGTGTCAGCGGTTCCCATGCGGCGTGAACGCGCGCTGCACTCCGTCTGACCCACCCAAGTGCCTCTGCGACGCCGGCTACTCGGGCAACCCGTACGAGGGCTGCCGGGACCAGGACGAGTGCCGCGACAACCCGTGCGCTCCCGGCGCCAGCTGCATCAACGAGAAGGGAAACTTCAAGTGTATCTGCCCGGCCGGAACACAGGGCGACCCCTTCGTGGGCGGCTGCACGGGCGCCGCCTCTGGCTGCGCGTCCGACAACGACTGCGACGGCAAGCTGGCCTGCGTCAGCGGAGAGTGCCGCAACCCGTGCGAGCAGCTGCCGTGCGGTGCCAACGCCGTCTGCGAGCCAGAGGGCCACGCCGCCTGGTGTCGCTGCCTGCCCGGCTTCAAGAAGGCCGACGGCTCCAACGACTGCGTCTCAGGTGAGGGATCCGTGACGCCATCGCCTCGCTCTTTTGTCAAAATGGAATATGCATAATGGGTTAATTTGTAAAGAAATGCCATTAGGAAAAGTTGCATCGCATAATGCTCGGCATAAAAGATCGCCCCTTTCTCACATATCGTTTCTTCTTTCCAGAGTGTGACGGCTACTTGTGCGGCGACAATGCCGAGTGCATCGTCTCCGCTGACGGCCCCACCTGCAAGTGTCTGGAGGGGTACAACGGCAACCCGTTCCCGGGTGGCGCCTGCTCGCCGGACGTCTGCTCGCCGCGCAACCCATGCCAGGGCTCAGAGGTGTGCGTCTCCTCGCGCTGCAAGGTGCGCTGCGAGGGCGTCACCTGTGGCATCGGCGCCAAGTGTGACAAGAACACCAACAAGTGCGCCTGCCTGCCGTTCCACGTCGGCAACCCTGATCTGCTCTGCGTGCCACGTGAGTCAGGGGACGTGACTGCGAGTGGGGACTGATGAGGAATGATGGTCTATTGTGGTATATGACATATGAAGGAACATGCTGTAGTTGCCATAATCTAAATGAATCGAACTTGATGACAGATAGCTTACGGTAAGCCTAGAAATATATGAATGGCCATTGTCTCGACGAACGCTTGTCCTCAGATCACCGTTAACAATGTCTATGCTGTTCCATCTTGCCCATTGTCTGATTGAAGCGATCATTGTGCGTGTGGCGGTGCACGCTGACGTTCATCGACCCTCCCTTTCTATCCGCAGCCACCCTTCCGCCAATGTGCGAGCCCGCATGCGCCAAGAACGCCCACTGCGAGTACGGCCAGCCCAACAAGTGTGTCTGCAACCAAGGCACTTCCGGCAACCCGTACGAGGGCTGCGGCGCCTCGGCGCGCACCTGCAGCACCGCCTCGTGCGGCAAGGGCGCCACGTGCAAGGAGGGCGGCGGCCGCGTGGACTGCGTGTGCCCGGCTGGCTACCGCGGAAACCCGTACGTCGAGTGCACAGATGTCGACGAGTGCATGGGCAACTCGTGCGGCATGAACGCCCTCTGCATCAACACGCCCGGCTCGTACGACTGCCGCTGCAAGCAGGGCTTCCAGGGCAACCCGTTCCTGATGTGCATGCCGCCGAGCTCGACCAGGACCGATTGCGCCAGCAACCCGGATAACTGCCAGTGCTCCGGCTCCAACGCCTGCCCCACCGGGTGAGTAGCGTGCCAGAGCTGGTAGAGTAAATGCCGGATCAGAATTCAGATGCGTTTAGCATCAGTCATACATCACATACCTAGCCAGCGACATAGTCCGTCTGCAGCATCATAGGCACAGTTTGTAGAGAAGCTGAATTATTATAGACATGTTTCGAAGGCTGTGCATTCGCAACCTTTTCATGACTCATTCACGTGCCTTTGCAGATACAAGTGCAGCTCAGGCAAGTGCGTGAACCTGTGCGCTGGCGTGGCGTGCGGACCGAACGCTGTGTGCAGTGGAGGCAAGTGCTCGTGCCGCGCCGGCTACGAGGGAGACGCGTCCGACCCCAAGGTGGGCTGCTCCACCGGCGGCTGTCAGAACGACCTCTACTGCCGCGACGACGAGATCTGCCTGCCGGCGGCCGGCGGCCAGCGCCGCTGCGTCAGCGCCTGCTCCAAGCTCTCCTGTGGCTCCAACGCCTACTGCGTCACCGAAAACCACCGGTCGAGTTGTCTCTGCAAGGACGGCTTCAGCGGCGACCCGAGCAACCCGCGCGTCGGCTGCCAGCCCACCACGCCTGTCGATCAGTGCAAGACGTCCCGGGACTGCCCCAAGGACCGGCCCGTCTGCACCCTGGGAGAGAGCGGTCAGAAGCAGTGTCTCGACCCGTGCAGCACCTTCTTCTGCGACCAGAACGAGGTGTGCTCGGTGCGCAGATCGCGTCCTGTCTGCCTCTGCCGTGACGGCTTCAAGAAGAACCCGCGCACCAACCGCTGCGAGAGTCCCGGAGTGCCTGAGTGCGCCAGCTCCGACGACTGTCCGGTCACGCACGCCTGCCTGGCGGACGCACTCAAGGTGAAGAAGTGTGCTCCGGTCTGCGAGCGCACCCAGTGCTCGCCCAACTCGCAGTGCGTGGCGGTCAATCACCGCGCCTCTTGCCAGTGTGTCAGCGGCTTCTACGGTAACCCTAACGACCGGGCTGGCTGCAAGCCGCTGTCCCGCAACACCTGCTCCTCTGACGCCGAGTGTCCCGAGACGGAGGCCTGTCGGGACGCCGACGGCGGTCGCCAGTGCGTCTCCGTCTGTGCCAGCCTGCGCTGCGGCCCTGGCGCTGTGTGCGTGACCAACAATCACGTGGCACAGTGTCAGTGCCCGCCGGGCAAGTACGTGGGCAACCCGAACGACCTGGAGGAGGGCTGCCGCGCCGTCGGCTGCCTCGGTAACTCGGACTGCCTGGCCACGCAGGCCTGCAACCAGCTCGACTACCAATGCTACGACGTGTGCCGCGACGCCTGCGGAGCGCACGCCGTCTGTCTGGCGGCCAACCATGCGCCGGTCTGCTCGTGCCGGCCCGGCTACAGCCCGAACCCGACCGCCGAGACTGATTGCGCCTCGGTCGACCTGTGCGCCGACCGGCCGTGTCACTCGTCCGCCAAGTGCATCAACAAGCCCGGCTCGTACTCGTGCTTCTGCCCGCCGCGTCAGATCGGCGACCCGTACACCACGGGCTGCCACCCGGAGGGCCAGTGCCCCGGCGGAGACGCCGACTGTCCGCCCGACTCGGTGTGCCGCCGCGGCCGCTGCGCCGACCCGTGCCAGGGCGCCTGTGGCCAGAACGCCCAGTGCAACGTGGTCCAGCGGAAGGCGCAGTGCAGCTGCCCGGCCGGCTTCCAGGGTAACCCGGAGCCGGAGCAGGGCTGCGTGCGAGCCGTGGTCCGCTGCAGCGGCGACGCCCAGTGTCCGGACGGAGTCTGCATCAGCGGACAGTGCAGAGGTGAGTCACACAGAAATGGCCCTGAGCACCGGGGGGACGGGTGAGGGGGAGGGATACGCTAATTACGCTGGTTTCATATTTGTCACCAATGTCACACATATTTCTTGCGCTTATCCTCAGTTGGAAAACTCACTAGCAGTGCCACATCCGAGGAGTGACGAGAGTCTGACCGACCGTTATGTTTTCAGCCGTGTGCTCTCGCAGCAGCGAGTGTGCCAGTGGCGAGCGTTGCGTGAGGAACCGCTGCGTACTGCCCTGCCTGTCGAGCACTCAGTGCCCCAAGGACCAGACCTGTGACGGTGGCTTCTGCTCACTGGGATGCAGCACCAACGGAGACTGTCCCGCGGCGGATGCTTGTGTCAACAGCAAGTGCCAAGGTGCGTATAATAGACGTTACATATTGCAACATGACATGAAAAGCAAAGAGGCTACGCTTGCAGTATCGATTTTCTGTATGATCAAACTGACATTCGAAGTGAATATCGTTGATCTTTATAAGGTGCGAATAACATACGAATAATTTATCGTCTTATGAGCCACCACTTCTAACCAATTTTACCTGGGATATTGCAGACCCGTGCAAGACTGACGGTGCGTGTGGCGCGAACGCCCTCTGCACAGTCAAGGAGCACCGGCCGCAGTGCACCTGCCCGGATGGATTCACCCCGAACCCGACACCGCAGCAGGGTTGTATGCGCACCCCGACCATCTGCCAGAGCGCGAGGGACTGCCCAAGCGGCCTGCGCTGCCGCGACGGCGCCTGTCGCAAGGGCTGCCGCGGAAGCGCCGACTGCGCCCAGGGTGAGCGGTGCACCAGCTTCATGTGTGCCACCGTCTGCTACCAGGACAACAACTGTCTGTTCGGCGAGGTGTGCGTGGACGGCGCGTGCCGGTCCGGCTGCCGGTCGGCCGCCGACTGTGGCACCGGACAGACCTGCACCAACGGACAGTGTGCCTGCGCGCCCGGCTACGTCGCCGACGACGACGACTGCGAGGACGTCGACGAATGCGAGAACCGACCCTGCCACCCGACCGCCACCTGCCTCAACCTGCCCGGCTCGTTCAAGTGCGTGTGCCCTGAGGGTACGGCCGGTAATCCGCTGGCCAGTCCCGGCTGCGGCTCGCCCAGCGAGTGCGACTCCAACACCAACTGCGCCGGGAACCTGGCCTGCACCGAGGCGGGCGGCCGACGCCGCTGCACCGATCCGTGCACGGACGCCGTCTGTGGCGCCGGCGCCGAGTGCCGCGTGGTGAACCACGAGCCCGTGTGCCGGTGCCCGTCTGGCTACCAGGGCGATCCGACCGACCGCGCCGTCGGCTGCTTCCGGCCGCAGTGCAGCAAGGACACCGACTGCCCGGCCGACCGGCTCTGCGACGACTTCCGCTGCGTCAACCCGTGCGACTTTGTCCGCTCCTGCGGCCGTGGCAACTGCCAGGTGCAGGACCACCAGGCTGTCTGCTTCTGCAACCCCGGCTTCGAGCAGGGCGCCGACGGACTCTGCGTGGACATCGACGAATGTCGCGCCAGCCCGTGCCACCGCTCGGCCGAGTGTCGCAACACGCTCAGCTCCTTCACCTGTGTCTGCCCGCCCGGAACGGTCGGAGATCCCATCACCGACGGCTGCAGGCGGCCCGGAGAATGCCAGGCCGACTCGGATTGCCCACCTGCGGCAGCCTGCAAACAGGGCCGCTGCCAGAACCCGTGCGAGTCGGCTCGGGCGTGCGGTAAGGGCGCTGAGTGCACCACAGTCGCACACCGCCCCGTCTGCTCCTGCCCGCCGCAAACCACTGGTAACCCGCGCACCGGCTGCACTCCGTTCGAGTGCATCGACAGCGCCGACTGCGCCGCCGCGCAGACCTGCGTGCGCAACAAGTGCGTGGACCCGTGCAGCCAGCTGAACGTGTGCGGCGCTAACGCTGACTGCACCGTGGTCGACCACCAGTCCATCTGCAGCTGCCAGCCGGGCTACACCGGCGAGGCCAGGCTCGGCTGCACGAGGGTGCTGCGCTGCAGCAGTGACGACCAGTGCCCTCAGGCGCAGCGGTGCACAGGTGGCGTGTGCGCTGACCAGTGCCGCTCGCGGAGGGACTGCCTGCAGGGCCAGCTCTGCCTGGAGGGCACGTGCCGACCGACCTGCGCCGCCGACACCGAGTGTCCCCAATACCACAGCTGCGTCAACCAGATCTGCGTGCAGGAGGTGCGCTGTCGCGCCGACACTGACTGCGGAGCCGAGGAGCGCTGTCGCACCAACGCCTACGGCCAGGCCGAGTGTCAGGGCGTGTGCAGCGGTCTCGTGCTCTGCGGACGCAATGCCGAGTGCCAGGCCAAGAACCGCGAGGTGGTCTGCGTCTGCAAGCCCGGCTTCCGCGGTGATCCGCAAGACGAGAAGACCGGATGCAGCCCTGTTGAGTGCGAGAAGAACACCGACTGCCAGCAGAACCAAGTCTGCGACAACTACAAATGTGTTGGTGAGTATATTCTGGTATTCGGATAAAATGTGTAGATTTTTCTGCATACTTCGTTTATCGTACTTGATATTATTCAATAATGTATTCTAATTCCTACGCATGACAACGATGAGCCCTAACCGAGAGTACTCTATTTACAGTTGCGTGCAAGGCCAACAACCCGTGCGGTGAGAACGCTCTCTGTTTGTCGGAGGACTACCGTTCCGTGTGCTTCTGCCGCGAGGGCTTCGTGGGCGACCCGCTCACGCGCTGCAAGCCGGTCGACTTCTGTCGGTCGAGCCCGTGCGCCGGCGGAGCCAAATGCCAGAACGGCGCCGGCTCGTTCAAGTGTCTGTGCCCGCTGGGTACGATCGGCGACCCGTACGAGCTCGGCTGCCAGCCGGCCGTGGAGTGCAAGGTGAACGACGACTGTCCCTCGACGGCCGTCTGCCGCACCCAGGACGGCGAGCCCAAGTGCGTGGACGTCTGCGAGACCACGCAGTGCGGCGCCAACGCCGACTGCAAGGCCACCAACCACAAGGCGTTCTGCGTGTGCCGCCAGGGCTACGACGGCGACGCCAGCGACGTACTCCAGGGCTGCCGACCGAGTGAGTAGAAATATAGTCAATGTCCGTAGCGAGGTGTTTGAGTCGTGAAACAGTAACGTAATTGTTATATGTCATGTTAAGGAGATAAAATAATGTTATATCTCTTATAGCGCACAGACATTAACTATGATCGGTACGTGAACGTCAACTTTTAAAACATTGCTCCTATGTCCACAGTTCCGGTGAAGTGCACCTACAACCAGGACTGCCGGCGTAACACGGTGTGCGACGGAGGCCTGTGCCGACCGCCGTGTGCTACCAACGACGAGTGCGCGCTCACGGAGTCGTGCGCGCGCGGCCAGTGCACCAACCCGTGCAGCTCGGACGCCGCCTGCGGCCTGAACGCCGTCTGCCAGATGGTCCGCCACGAGAAGCAGTGCTCGTGCCCGCCCGGCTACACCGGCTCACCTGAGGTGGAGTGTGTCCGCATCCCGGTGCCCTGCCAGAGCAGCCTGGACTGCGGCCGCGGCTACAGCTGCCAGGAGAGCGTCTGCATGAGCGCCTGCTCGTCGGACGCCGACTGCGCCCTCAACGAGAAGTGCGCCGACGGCTCATGCATGCGTGAGTAACTCAAATCGACATCCCTTGAATGTTAAATCGTGTCTGCCAGCGACTGACGGTAATAACATACCAAATGCATTATTTATTACGTGATTTTCATAAAAAAATGCGCGTTCCAGCTCTTTCCTTGCAACCAATGTTAACGCACCCTCTTCATCCCACAGTGACTTGCCGCGTGGACAACGACTGCTTCCTGGGCCATGTCTGCCCCAACAACCTGTGCATCATCGGCTGCCGCGCCAACAGCGACTGCAACGCTGGCGAGGCGTGCCTCAACAGCCGCTGCACGGACCCGTGCGACGCCAGCGCCGTGTGCGGCCCCAACGCCAAGTGCGAGGTGCTCAACCACCGCGCCCAGTGCAGCTGCAGCGCCGGCTTCATCCCCAACCCGACTGCCAACGTGGCGTGCGTGCGCGAGCCGGTGCCGTGCAGCATCAACTCGGAGTGCGGCGCCGGCGCCGTCTGCCAGGCGGGCCAGTGTCGGCCCATCTGCAGTGACGACCGCGGCTGCCTCTCCAATGAGCGCTGCGACCAGGGCCTCTGCATGCCCGGCTGCCGCCTGGACGACGACTGTGCCAGCGGCGAGATCTGCCGCGAGCTCGTCTGCGTGGCCGGCTGCCGCGCCGACACCGACTGTGCCGCCGCCACCAGCTGCGTCAACAACAAGTGCATCGGTAAGGGAGTCGCAATACCGGAGGCTCGTTACATCCGTTAACGACCTTATATCCTGAATCAAAATCATGGTTTAATAGCACTGAATCGCAGCCTTTGATTAATTGAAACAATATTTTCGGACTTGTCAATGACATTGCTGGCTGATCATGCATCTCGACATCTACCTTCTCTTGCAGACCCGTGCGCCTCCCCCACCGCCTGCGGCACCAACGCGCAGTGCTCGGTGGTGAGCCACCGCGTGCAGTGCACGTGCCCTGCCGGCACCACTGGTGACGCCTACAGCAGCTGCCGCGCCCCGCCCAAGGCCTGCGAGAAGGATGAACAGTGCGACGACGGCACCTGCTACGGCGGTGTCTGCGTCGCCAAGTGCTCAAGGTAAGTGAAGCCGCCACATATTACCGCACCTTTTCAATGATACATTGAGTGAGGTTTATTTGACTGAGCGCGACATAGGTGATTTTTTTATTATCTGTTTGATTAAAGCCTGTTTGCCACCACTCCACTCTGACCTACCATTCCTAACCCTACAGCGACACGGCTTGTCTGAACGATGAGCGGTGCGTCGGCGGCATCTGCAAGGCCATCTGCAGCTCGGACACGCAGTGCCGCTCCGGCCAGATCTGCCAGGGCCGGCTGTGTCTGTCCGGCTGCCGCTCGGACGACCACTGCTCCGCCGACCAAGCCTGCATCAACCGGCGCTGCCGCGACCCCTGCCAGGGCACCGCCGCCTGTGGCACGTGCGCCCAGTGCGACGTGGCCAACCACCGCGCCCAGTGCACGTGCCCGGCCGGCACACTCGGCAACCCGCAGGTCGCCTGCCAGCCGGTGGCCACGCGCTGCTCCAGCAGCAAACAGTGCAAGTGAGTAGCATAAATGATTCCGATAAAAAACTTTCGTTTCTTCCGTAAACATTAGGGAATGTTCTCTGCTCTTTTAACTAAATAGGAATTCATTCCAATGTCGCTCTTTTACTGTCAGGGGAGAATCAACGCCTTGTAACTACAGTCCTTCACTGATCCATTCCCTCGTCTGACCGGCTCACCCATTCTGTTTCAGCGGCGGTAAGTGCGAGTCCGGTCTGTGCCTGTCGCAGTGCTCCACGTCGAGCGACTGCGGCTGCGGCCACACCTGTGCCGACGGCGTGTGCCGTCAGCAGTGCTCGGCCGACGCCGGCTGTCCGGAGGGTGTGCTCTGCGCCGACGGCCTGTGCGTGGCCGGCTGCCGCGCCAACGCCGACTGCCCGGCGCGGCTGGCCTGCTCCGGCGGCCAGTGCGTTGACCCGTGCTCCGCCGGCTCTCCGTGCGGCAGCGGCGCCGAGTGCAAGGTCTCCGACCACCGCGCCGTCTGCCTCTGCCCCGACGGCTTCAACGGCAACCCCAAGGAGGCGTGCACAAAGGCCGGCTGCAAGCGCGACGACGACTGCGTAGACCGCACCATGGCCTGCATCGACTCGCAGTGCGTCAACCCGTGCCTGCAGCCGAACGCGTGCGGCGTCAACGCCCAGTGCAAGTCGATCCGGCGCCGCGCCTTCTGCCTCTGCCCACCCGGCTACTACGGCGAGGCCACCGTCCAGTGTCTCAAGGGTACGTTATCCGTTTTTTTTTATCCCAACGATATAGATCTCGATTCATCTGACATTTGACAATGTAGAACAATGGTCGAGGTGCTCTTCTACTTTCAAATGTCTCGTGTGTACCGGCTACTTGGTATGACCATTCACGCCACTTCCACAGAGGCCAACGAGTGTGTGAGCAAGCCGTGCGGCGAGAACGCCTATTGCACCGACACACCGGACTCGTTCACGTGCACGTGCGAGAAGGGCTGCTTCGGCGACCCCCTGCGCGGCTGCGTCTGCGTCGGCAACCAGTGTGACAGGCTGCAGTGCGGCGTCAACGCCGAGTGCCGCGTCAAGGACGACGATGACGACGACGACGACGACGATGATGATGGCAGCAGCGGAGCCGAGTGCTACTGTCCGCCGGCGTTCCCCATCGGAAACCCCAACATCAGATGTGAGTGACCGTTTGGATATTGACATCATTAGCTATCTGTACACATGAATATTATTGCCCATTAGGCTGGTGAAAAGTAAACGTAAATAGCACGCAGTTGCTTTTTTGTCACCGTTGACCCTGCACATTTTGTGACGAGATCCTGACGTATGGCGGCCAGCTGATTATACGCCTTTCCTTTTGCGCAGGCTCGACATCGGGCCGGGTCAACTGTCGTAGCACGGGCTGCGGCCTGAACGCTGACTGCGCGCGCCAGGGCCTCGGCTACGCGTGTCGCTGCCGCGCCGGCTACGTAGGAAACCCGGAGACCGGCTGCTCGCCAGGTGAGTGCCGCCGCTCGGCCGCGGGACGGGTCGGATGGGAGAGGGGTTAGATGGGAAGGAGACAGGGTGGGAGGGGAGGACAACGACGGAAGAGATTCTGACTTCCGAGACATCGCGGGAAGGGGGAGAGACGAAAACGGGAAAGGGGCCCACGACTTGTGCCATAAGGGGGTGACGATTGCATGGGGAATATGTGGAATATGTATGTCCGTGACTAGACTGAGATCTTCCCTCAAGATGTACATTACGAAGACGGATACCATGGGCGAAAACCCACTCGACGAGCTGTGAATATAGTCAGATTGCTGATGTGTCCTCCCAATAGAACCAAAGGCGGGAATGACATTGAAAAAATCATACTGAGTAAAAAAGGGAAGTCTGGCAATTAGCCCTTGACAAAAGTGGCATCAACCTGCATATCCACTACTTTTGTCTACCGAAGCACGATTTCACGGAAACGATTGTCCTATACAGAACCAAACCTCTGTTTGGATAAGATAACATTATGGAAACCCACTTTTTACTTTCGTAGATCAGGAAACGATGTAAATCAAGAAAAGTTTGTATGGCAGATTTTTAGTTTTAGTCTCAAGCTTTATTAAAAACAATTAAGTCATTGAGAATCATATCCATACCGACAAAAGCGACTCATTTCATTTTGAAGATGAACTCTGCTACACTTCCACTTCTTCCGGCACTATTGTTCTAAAGTCATGCCTTTCGAGCATAGCCATGAACAGACTTCTTACTCTGAGACCCTGTCGAGTTGTAGAGTGCATGTGACATTCCCTTCCCGACTGTGTGCTGCCTGATGACTGTACCCCGTCCAGTAGACGGCGGGCCCGGACTGTACCGCCCCGGGCCGCGGCTGGCGGCGGCCGGACTGCGAGGTCCCTCCTCTGCTCTCCCGTCCACCATCCCTCCGAAAACCCGTCAGCTGGCTTAGCATGCCGCTTGTCGTCCCGCGCCGCGTCCGGGACCTCGCGCGGGCCGCCGCCGTGCCGCTGCCCGCGCTGCCGCATGCGTCTAACCCGACCCATCTCCGCCCGGACGACAGAATCTGCATGCACGCGCGACTCAGACTGTGGCACGTCGGCCGCCTGCCAGAACGGCGAGTGCGTCGACCCGTGCGCCGTGCGCGGCGTCTGCGGCCAGAACGCCCTCTGCCAGGTTGTGTTCAGCAAGGCGCGCTGCTCGTGCCCGCAATGCTACGTCGGCCAGCCGTCGGAGGTGTGCCGGCCCGACCCGACCTGCGGCCGCGTGCCGGAGAGGCCCCCCGGCCCGCGGACCCGCTGCAGCGGAGACGACGACTGTGCCGACAGTCTGGCCTGCCAGAGCGGCGAATGCGTCGACCCGTGCTTCGGCTACACACTCTGTCCCGAGGAGAAGAAGTGCATGGCACGCGACCACGTGGCTGCCTGTGTCTGCAAGTACGGCATCAGCGTCAACGAGAAGTTCGAGTTCGTCTGCGCCGGACCGCGCATCGAGTGCCGTTCGGATGACGACTGCGCTTCCAACCTGGCCTGCTTCACCGGCAAGTGCCAGAACCCGTGCATCCTGCAGAACCCGTGCCCGACCAACAAACGCTGCGACGCCGTCAACCACCAGCCCATCTGCATGTGCTCTAAGGACTGCCAGTCGTCCGTCTCGCTGTGCCTGAACGATCGCGGCTGCTCCGACAACCTGGCCTGCCGCAGCTACCAGTGCATCGACCCCTGCGAGGGCTTCAACTGCCCACAGGACCGACCCTGCTATGTCGAAGACCACAAGCCTGTCTGCAAGTTCTGTCCAGAGGGCTTCAGCGTCGATCCGATCTACGGCTGTATGAAAGGTATGCGCGCCGGCTGCGCGTTCGGCTAGCTGGCTGCGCCCTGGGAGCGGGATCGCAGGCTAACCTGACCGCCATGCCGCGCACTAATGCCTGTCGCACGTGCTACCGACGCTGAGGGACTGGTACCACCTCTGCCGAGGGCCGGTGCCACCTGCTCTGCGACTGTGGCAACGGAACCAAACGATGTAACCGATGCTGCCGCGCTTGCACTAACGCCAACCCACCGGCGATTTAGAGGCCGTCGTCTTCCCGTGGTGCCTCTTACAGTTTTTAAGACATCATGAATCTAAGTTATCTGCCTCTTTTAAAACGACGCAGAGACACCACGGGATAAGACGATGTCGCCTCATGTCCCCGCTCACGCTTGCTTGTGCTTTCTAAAGCCCTTAGCTTCATCGGCTCAATAAACAGGCTGACACAGGGAGCTCCAGCGTCGTCCACCTTCCAACGGAACTGTACTTCGGAGGGGCTTCTTCTTCGCGCCGCGATCTGAACTATGACAGACGGGCACCTGCTCAGACTCAGACATCACTAGACTCCTTAACCCGCCAGCAGGCGGAACGACACACGCATGGACAGACTCTAACACTTCGAGACGCCTTCATATTCAACAGAGGCAGATGTTTCCAAATCTGCATGCTGCATGTGCATGAAACGCATGATCATATGATGTGCATGATATGCATTATGCATGTTATTAGCCCTCTTCCTCCAGGGATCGGTGTCTCAAAATGCATGCTCGCTTTACGCATTACATCTCCAACCGTAACATCATCAGCAATTAAACATAAATTATGCATTAACTATACTCAACTCGCCTGCAATTAAAATGCCTCACCAGAATAATCCATCACGCTGCGCGAATTTAGTGTTCGTTTCAATCACTCACCAACTTTAACTGCCTTTGTCAAGGCCCAAAGGACGACTAACGTATTAACTGTGGCTGCCCAGCCACGGATATTGGAGATATATCAGGCATGTCAGGCCTCGAGCGAGGTCAGCCCCGCCTCCGATAATCACCCAGCCTTGAATCATAACGTAACTGCTTCGCCGACGCCGCTCTGACGTCACTGCCCCCCCACCGTGACGTCACTGGCCGCCCGTCCACAGTGATTGGCTGCCGGGAGAACGGCAACTGCCCGTCCAACCAGGCCTGTGTCAACGGCGAGTGCAAGAACCCGTGCATGCTCGTTGATCCGTGCCAGGCCCCCGAGGTGTGCCGCGTGCAGGACCACAACAGCGTCTGCGTCGACGGTACGACACCGTTTGTAACATGCTGCGCTCAATGACGGGATGTAACATAGTTACCGTGTACATATGCATGAGGGAGTAACTGGGGTGGGGGGGGGGGGCGGCTGATAGAGGGAATCCAAGACTTTATTGGAGGGTCGTAAGGGTAACTTTTTATACCAAATTGTCAGGGAACTCAGATTTGTTTTTCAATAGAAAAACACAATTCTAAAGAATAGTGTTTTAACTATTGACAACAAACCTTCGGTTATGGGAAGCTAATGATGTTTATTAAAATGGCAAAGTTGGCAAAAGACGATGTCCTCGAAACCAAGTGAAAGGGAGGGGGTGACTGAATACATTGCGATGCAAATATGGTGTACAGGAGCAGAAAAGTGTAGGCCGAATGGAGATGCTATAAAACTCGCGAGCCTGGTTTCAGAGTGGTGATAGGTAATGAAGTAGATGTTTTAGAGCACAAAAAATGCAAATTTTAAGTGATGTATTCCGTTTAAATCAAAAACTTTAGATTTTACTTTTCTCTGACAGGTTTTACCTGGATGTACACACGTAAATACCTACTTCGGAGGAATTTATCAAAAAAAAAAGAAAAAGAAAAAAGAACGTAGTCCGGTAGTTTTCACGGGACATGTTCGTTAGGTATATACATCCACTCGTCTTAGAAGTGCCATAGCAAGAGGCTCATTTGGTAAGCTGCGCAAATTTTCCCCCTTTTCAAAGAAGGGTTGGAAAAATGGTGCAGGGTCCGCCTTCTCTTACTTACCGAGCAGCGTTGCTGATTGAGCCCTGTACCCGCACGTCCACAGGCTGCCGGTGCAGCTCCAACGCCGACTGCGGCATCGGCGAACAGTGCGACGGCTGCGAGTGCCAGAAGAGCAGAGGTGAGCACTGGAACTGCAGGAAGGGTGCGATTTCTTAAAAACGGGTTAGATGCGAGAAAGTGTAATGTAAACGATTACGATCCAGACATCGAAATGCAAAGATGCGGCTGGATATTCAGCATTAAAATACGTAAAAGAACAAACTTACCAATCAAGGCCATCACGGCGCGGATCCGTTGGACGATTTCCCTCTGCTCTGTTGATCTGCGCTGACCGATGTCGCGTCGCCCCCGCAGTACCCAACATCGGCTGCGTGCCGGGCAGCTGCGACGACGGCCAGTACTGCGACGAAGGCACCGGCGAGTGCGTCGATGACGATGACGATGATGATGACGACGACGACGACCCGACAGGTAGGTCCCCGTGCCCTTGCCAGCCGGGTGTACCGTATGAGTCGTGTGAGTGCGAGTGCGAATCGTTAAACTGCCTCGTGGCTCTGCGCTTTGGTAACCGCTACCGGCGCAGGTTGTGACCGCTGAGCTATAACGAGCAGCCGCAGCTAGCGCGCACTGCATTCTAGATCAGCATCGTGGCTAGCTAAAGCGTAACCGCTCGCCGTGGCATGTTGTTAACTCCTCTTACCTGCATCGCCTGACCGCCTGCCCCGAGTCCTGCCCTGGCTCGCCCTCACCGTTTCGACCCTGCCAGCCTGACCCCGCAGCTGAGCCTAACGCCGCCGGTCGCGGAGGTGCCCGGCGCTAACAGGGCCGCCCGCGGCGCTGGCGCGACTCACCTGGGACGCTGCCACCGACCACCGGCTTCAGCCAGCGCTTCCTAATCTATACTCTCTGGCTTTTGCTCTGATCCCGTAACCCGACCAGCTTCTTGGGTCATGTATTTAGAGCTTGGTAGTATGGGAGCTTGGGTCTTGCATCACGAGCTGGTTTAGGGTCACACTTTCAGTCTGCATCCAGCACCTGCCTGCATTCATAAACAAACACACACTGCATCAAGTTAATCAAACTTACGCCCACATGCCAATCAGAATACAGCTCAGCATGCATTGTTTATGGCACTTTTAGGCATGTATTGCGCAGCATGCCGCAAACTACAATCCAATAAAGAGGAATGTATGAGTGCGTGAGCGTTTGGACTGTGTGTGTGCGCGTGCTTACCTGTGTATGCATTTGCTTCACATGTACCATTTCAGACGATAGACTGGCGTTAGAGCGGAGCTGACCTTTGTCAGTAGTATGTAAATAAGCTGTACGTTCGGTTTCGCCTTGCCGTTCGCCTTCTTCAACCATTGTCCGTTCCGGCCGGACCCTTCTCTCGACACACGTCACAAACACACACACATACTTCTTCCACGTGCCGCAATTTCGGCGGCGCGATAGCTGTCCGTCTCGGCGTCTCCGCTCTGTCTCTCTCGGTCTCCGTTCGTCTCTGTGGCGTTTCGGCCGTCGTCTGACCCGGCGCGCCGCCCAGCAGTGCCGCCCGCTCCGGCCGGCGCACAGCCCACCGTCCGGCCGACCGCCTCGGGCGCGGCCTGCGGCAACAACTCGGACTGCCCAATGGCCGAGACGTGCCTGCAGGGCCGCTGCTCGGACCCGTGCCGCTGCGGCGTGGGCGCCGAGTGCCGCGTGCGCCGACACCGGCCCGTCTGCCGGTGCCCAGAGGACCACGTCGGGGATCCGGCCGTGCGCTGCACACCCGCCGGTACGTCGGAGTGGCCAGACGATCAGCAGGTCCAGAGAGACGTCCACTTGAGTTAGGCTTTTGTCGAGCCCAGAAGTTGATGATACCAGAGTTGAATCGGCCAGGCCAGGCGCATACGGCGCCAATAACGTAACAAACCAATTAACAGTCCCGTCTATGGCACTCACAACACTCGTTAATGTTTAACCCGGTCAATGGACACCTAACTATGTAACGTTTACGGATAACAATAATAACAGCACTGGTGTGTTACATCTCACATATCGTGACGTCCCGTTGGTTTTGTCACATCCCTAACCACGGCGGGAAATGGTAGCCGCTGGCGAGCCGTCACCGGTGGACCGGGCTTCCTCTGCCCGTCTGGCGGTGACGCGTCTGTGGAACCATGCCCGCCACTCACGAACCCATGTCTAACACAGTGTCTCTGTCCCCTAACAAGGCGGCACCACCCCGGCGCAAGACGGCACTGAGAGCGGCACCACACCCCGCCCCCGGCCTGGGCTGACCCACTCCGTTCCTGAGGCAGCCGGTACCCCCGGCACCCCTGCTCCCCCGGGCGCTACCCCTGGCAGCCAAGTCACGGCCCGACCCGGAACATCCACTGCTCCCGGAGCCCTCCGACCCGGCCAGGTCACTGACGGACCGGGAACACCCTCTGGGACCACAGACGGACCCTACGTGCCCGGTCAGAACAGGGAAACCGTCTACACGACCCCCGCTCCTCAGCGAGGGGCCGACGGACCGCCTGGCGGACCCAGCATCCCCGCCCGTCCCAGCGGGCCGACCTCCTCGGTATCCGGAGAAACCACTCCTCGTCCAGACTCCGAGGTATCCGCGACGCCCAGTCCCTCCGCCACCCCCGGTTCCTCCGAGACGCCCGATCCCGCGGCCACCCCGGTCCCCAGCGGCTCCGGGTCGCCGTGCGCGGCCACGGCTGAGTGTGCTGACACGGAGGTGTGCCGGGGCGGGGTGTGTGTGAGCCCGTGCCAGTGCGGCGCCGGCGCCACCTGTCTGGTGACCGGCCACCGACCCGTCTGCCGCTGCCCGCCTGGATACGAGGGCGACTCCTATGTCCAGTGCCGACCGCGGGGTACGTGCTAACACCGTCCGATCACCGCTAACCGACCGCACTCTGTGTGTTCATAGTGAAAATACGACCGCTGTCTGTACAACGCTTGGGTTAATGGTTCGGTGGAATTGTTATTAACTCTGGTGCAACGTCCCACACGACCAGTGATGGTTAATATTTGCTAACTGTTGGTGTTTAATCTCCGTGAATGGTTCATTCAGATATGGTTTTGCTCCCTTTACACGATAACATTGGTATGACATTAACGTTAACAATTCACTACCCAGTAACGATTTTTCGTAATTACTACATGTTCGTTTCACAAAGTAACCTCTAATCAGCCTGTGTCTAACCAACAACATACATCATTCCACGAGCTCGCCAGATTCAGTGGCTGGTTTATCCCGCATGACTAAAGATTCACAATATGATTCGAAAAAGAACACATATTTGCAGTGTTCTAAAATTGGATTTTGGTTGGGTGTGACGATGATGACCAAAAAATCTAGGATGAGAAAAAAAACAGTGAAAACCTATATCACTTTCGCAATAAAGGCGTAACGCTACGCTGGCTGATAATAAAAGAACATACCATTCCTGACCACCAAAACTAACCGAAAAAGACGATGCAAATAGGTAAGGATGATCTACGGCAGAATTATAACTTTAACATCTGATCGCCAAGTGTTTCTAAATCCGTCCCATTTTATCCCAACATTTGTGTTTGATTGAGACTAATGAATTTAAGAATCACCCTTGTCTCTTATACAGCAAAGAATGAATACCTACTTCAACCAGTGATATTTCATTTTCCTCACAAGTCAAAATGCATTGTCACAATTGAATGACTGTCCAATGACCATCCTTCTCCTAGCCTTAAATCAATGCCTTCCTTTCCGTTTCAGATGCAGACAGCAGATATTACCGTCAGCATCTGCTACGTTCCTACTCATGCTTACTGGCACGGATCCAGGACGGTCCTTCTGCCTGTATATTTCTCCTAAAGAAGATCATCCGCGGACCTCCATCCTCGCAACGCCAGTCGCCATCATGCGAGCGAACTAGGTCCTTAATTAAGAAGCAGAAGATGCAATGATTCTGTTGAAATCTGTAACTCATGTGTTCTGGCCTCTGGGACGTTTTGCGCCTACAATATGGCAGCACTGCTTCCAAGATTACTGTATATTTGAGATAATATGCGGCAATATAAGTATGTAGTTTTCGTTCGCATCTGACCTGGTAATATTCGTACAGTGTACACAGTATAGCTTTGAGCTTTCCATTTTCAACAGATATGACAATGGCCGGATGATACTGGAAATGGTGCCTTTGCTCTGAGCATACGGAACGGGACGCAGTATTGAGTATGCAATTGCAGTCGCACTATGCAGCATGACATACGCCGGAAATCTCCTGGCCCGAACGCCGGAACGGCCAGCGATAGTCGGTACTCATTACGCAAAGTGAAAATGGAAACGGTGTCAGCGCAACTCTCCGAAAGGAACGGTGCACTACATGAGACTAGAAAAAGGGTCACTGATTAGGGCACCCCAAACGGAACGATGTGCACTGCGCAGCATAATACGCAACATCGCAATAAAAAGCGTGCAACTAACCAGGGCATCCGTATCGGAACGGAACGGGATGCAAAAAAAAAAAATGATAAAAGGATGCCACCGACCTCATGGCCGGCCACCGAAACTGAGCGGTAGCTACCTATCATGTCACGTGGTAAGTACTGAGTGAGAGAGCGTCACTGATCAGTGATCAGTGATCAGAGCACCCGCAACAGAACGGAGGGCATCAGTGATCACTGATCAGAGCAACTGCAACGGAACGGAGGGCATCGCTGATCAGGACAACAGGATATAATGCGAGCCGACATACGCCGAATCGCGATTCCGGCCAAACATGGCCTCAAGAAATAGGTCACAGGTCAAAGGTCATTTGGGTCAGGAATATGAGATTTCAGAGTAGGTGTCCAATTAATTGACTCGAGGGTCCTGAAAGTGTCGTCCCGATCGGCCGCTTTTTACGCGAGTTATTCTCGAAAAAACGAGGGGGGTGGTTCGTTCGACCCCCCCCCCCCCCATACGGGCGAGGGATAATTTATTAAAAAGCTAGAGCCTTCTTAATCCCATCTACCAGCTTCAGAACATGTATTGGGCAGATCTGGGGATACCGTATCTTAAATTTATCCCTAGAGGTGTGCCAAGGTATCCTTTCACTCGTCTTGGCTTTCCCTCGGCCGAACGCTTCGTGTTTAAAAACCTCTAGAAACTAATTGAAATGAATAATTGGCGGTAAGATTATTGCAAAAGCATGAGAAATTAACGTAAAATACATCATTACCGGTCTTATAACCTCATTTCGCGTATGAAACCTGCCAGAGTCCACAGAGTTTCATATTCATCCCTAGGGTGTGCCAGGGTGGCATGTCAGTCATCTTGAACCCCTGCCCGACCCGACGCCTCGAGTTTCAAAGACATCTAAAAACTAATAACGTTAATAATTTGTGGTGAAATTGATATAATATGATCAGAAAAGAACGCAGAATAAATAAGTATCGGTCTCAAAACATTATTTTGCCTATGAAACCAGCCAGAGCCCGCGGAGTTTTAGATT